AGTTCGAAGGTCAGCTGAGTGCTTGAGAATGCGTGACTCACTGGGGCTGTCTGGCATTTACATAGAAAATTAAGAGTAATGATATACCCCACATGGCCCCCATGGAAAATGTTTTAAGATGATGAAAAAGCGGGAGCAAGGAGTAATAATTTCAGGCAATAAACAAGGAAACAAATAGGAAGCTTAAATGTAGTGCACAAAACAGGGGACTGAAATAAAAAATAAATTGGCAGTAAACCTCTGCTCTGCAACACACTGTAACAAAAGTCTTGCAGGTAATAGATGCATGCACACATTTTGAGTGTTCCTTCGAGCTTAAGTTGGCAACATGAATAAAATGTATGCAAAAGTCTGAAGCGTGCAAATGGCAGCAATTACCACGCAGACACAGACGGCGACAACCGTCAAAAACGCAGCCCCATTTTCCCCAAACCCTGCTACTCAAAGCCCCTCTGAGTTCGCCTTGAAGTGCGCACGAAAAATACTTTGAGTCAAATCACAAAAATCCAACAGGAGTCGCCAAACTAAGGAAAGGTCAGACTTAGGGATCCGAATGAAATTTCGAGGCTTAAAAAGTGATCTTAAAATCTATTATTTTAGACATATGTGTTTCAAAAAGGGTTACAATTCGCATTACATAAAATCCAGATGGATTATTATTTAGATTAAATAGTTAGCAGAATGCTATCAAAGCAGCTTTTGATAGAATAGTAATAAACAAATGATATATGTACCCATTCTAACCGATATTCCCCGGAAATCTTTCTTCAATGGGTAGCAAAAGCACAACTGTCAATGCCGCTGCCTCGTGTCCCGTGTCGCCCATCTCTTCCCTTTGCCTATTTAAAAATTCAAAAGGCATACACGCCGAAAAAATACAAACGCATTCTGGGTTTTTAGTGGGCGGGAGGTCGTTGTTTGAGGGTAGCATCATCGACGACCACTTGAGGCGGCTGCTCCAGTTTTCCAGTTTCCCCAGTTTCCTGTCGCCAGCGCGCACCAAAGTATGCAACATGTCGGAGCGAGGAGAACTTGATGATGGGGAATGGGGAATGGTAACCCGAACGCGAAGGAAAAAACGCCAGCAAAGAAGCGCAAACACAACGTGGAAATATTATAACGAGTGCAAATAAAACACAGGGATGTCGAGGATGCCTGCAATCGTTTGGTGGCACGCATGCCTAAAGGAAATGCCATCAAATATGCCAAACATGTTTGCGGCCAAAACGAAGCGGAGTGGGCGGCGGTTGGCTGGCGCCCTTTAATGTTTATTGTGCAAATAAATTCGGCCTTGAATTGCCAGAAGCGGCGCCAGATGTACAGTGCTAACACGCTAATCACGATCTGCGGGTTTCGAATTACCTAAAATGGGATACTGTATCAAATATCTATATATTTTTTATATTCAAAACTAAAGTGCAGAAAATGAAACTAGTTGAATGAGTTTGCTTGGAATTTTTGCATCATGCACTCAAACAACTTTTCAGGTAATTTCAAATCTATAATTAAAAAGCCATAACCCAGAGGCCTAGTTACCAAAAAGGATTCCACTTCGCCCAACAACCAACCAACCACTGTGTGCCATTAACAAACACCCAGTCGCGAATTCCCTTTGATCTCTCGGTTTTTTTCGAGTGGCTCGTGTAAATTTAGGCTGCTTTCGATAACCAATAGATGCTATTTCGGGACTTGGGCTCAGGTCGGCGCCACTTGAGCACGCCTCTGGCCACAAGGTGAAGAGATGGGCGTGGCAGGGGCAGGGCGCGGGGGGCGGGGGGCGGTAGAGGCAACCCAAGGCTGGACAATATTTGCGTGCAAGCGAGACGGCGATGCTGCAGCCATAATTCAGAAAACTAACTTTTCCGGGGAGGGATTACATAAATCAACATTTTCTGCTGGCCGAAAAAGCGCCAGAAACTTTCTAGCAAACAAATATTAATTTTAACTTTTGCGCGGCCAATGCAGAACTAAAAAAATAATAATAATGGCAAAAAAAAAAAACAAAGAGGAAACAAACATTAAATTTTGAAAAAAAGATATTATGACTCAAGGCCTCAAATGAATGGTGCTCCTTTTTGATAATTTCCTCATTTCAATGTGCAATTTTTAATTGTTTTTCAACAATATTTTCTGACCAGACGCAATGAAATAATTGCTCGAAAAGTGGGCGCAGTGACCGGTAGCTGCCACGCCCACACAGTTCTCCACTCCCCCATCAGCGTATAGCCCCATCCCTTTCTAGCAAACGCGTCCTCGCGGCCTCGCATTTTCCCCGAGAGGCTCGCGATAATTCTTAACCGCTTGTTTATTTATGCGGCGCCGGAAAAGCAACACACATCCACCAGGGGAAAATGGGAAATGCTGGAAAATCGGGGGCTCAAAGAGGTAGAAAGATAATATGCGTCCGTGTGTGTGTGTGTGTGTGTGTGTGCCTGCGCCTTTATTTATGCAGCATGCATTTAAAATAAAATAAATATAAATTAAGCATAGCAAGTCCCAAAGGAAAATGCTCTTCGCAGGGTATCTTGAAAATGTGATAAATGCAAGTAGAAACTTTGAATGGGTTTCCGATGCAGCTAACAAAATGTAAACCACCAACTTTTTTTCATGTAAACTGTTGCCATAATCATAATTAAACCATGACAAACCGATTTGCAACATGCATAGGATAAATTGATGCTCGAAATGTGCATTGAAGGGCTCTTACTATCATTATCATTAACTCGAAATGAACCACACTTTTTTGCATTTTGAATGAAAATCATTAATATACCAATAAATCCATTAATCGCAATTAACACAATTGACTTCTTGCTGAAAAACATTCAATAGAAAACCATCAATAAATATGCAATGCATTAATGGTTGCAAAATAATCACTAACCATTTGGCAAACACTTTAAAAAATAAAGAAAAACCTTAAAAAATTATATTAGCATGGAGAGAGGGAGCAAAAGAGCATTTGGTAGTTTCATTTCATATTGACGGGAGTTTTTCACCCACCTCCCGCTTTTCATTATTATTCACATTTTTTTTTTTTTTTTTTGTGGCGCTTTTCTTTGTTTTTGTAACCGGGATAGTTGGCGGCGCCATTTTGTTGCCTTGCATTAATTGCAATGCAAAAAGGCAACGTCGCATAAATTTCTCATATTTAATTTCGCCTGAGCTGCAGATGGAACCGGAGACACGGGCGTTGGGGCAAAAAATAAAACAGAAGCCGGGGGGCAGTTTAATGCACTCTGTTGCATGCATCACGCCCTCTGGCCACCCGCACCCCCTCAGCGGATTCGTTTACATTAAATTATTTATGCACTCGACTGTGTGCGGCACTTGCGGCTTGACAAAAAAAAAAAAGAATTAAAAAGAAAAAGGGGAAAGGGGTAAAGGGGAAGGGGGAAGTGGCACACGGACCACCCATTTTCCGCAGCACTTTAATCTTGACCACACACATAAAATTGCCCAACAAATGTGCAGACATTGGCCATTAAGCAGCGGGCACAACTTGAACTTGTCCGAAGGACTGGCAGATATTCTTGACTTAAGCCAAAGGACATCCTTTTGAGCAGCCACCCTGCCAAGTCAACTGCGACTGTCCAATAAAATGGCAAAGAAAATGTCCAGAAAGGCTTTTAATTGTAATGAGAATGAGAATGAGAACGAGAACGACGAGAGCGAAAACGAAAACGAGAATGTAAGGCGGCAAAACGTTGAAACTTTTTGCCAGTCGGATAGTCTGAAGCCTTAGAATCCTGGGAGCCTTGGAGCCTTGTAGCCTTGGGGTCTGGCAGCCAGGACCCCCGTCCTGGAGCTCCTCCTCTGCTCTGTCCCATATCCTATTTTGCGACCTCGTAACAAAGGGTTTCATGAGCGTTTAATTGTCGGTAATTAGCTAGATGAACAATGGCCAACTTTTAGACGCCATGGAGCAAGTTTTCAGAGGAGACAGTAAAAAGAGCAGCTGGGCCAGAAAATGGGTAACTAGCTTATATAAGTAGAGGATATATATAGTGCTTTTTGGAGGAAAAACAGATGCACTCCACGGTGGGTGGAAAAGTGGGATGGATGCCGTGAAGAAGGTCCTCCAAATCGGTGCTTTTTAAATGCCGCACTTTGAATAAGTCTCGCTGTTGACATAAACTGCAATCAACAAACAAATTGCCATTAAAACATTAACAGCCTTCGAATAAAAGTAACTAATAAGCTTTAATGGCAATGTTGAATGTAGTTATATTATATGTAAAAATACAAGCAACTCACAAATAAATTTCAATAAAATTCAGCGCGTAATTTTAATTCCGTTTGTGACAAGTTGTACAGTTTTTACTTAATTATTTGACGTACTTTCCCAATATAAGTTGTTTCATTAAATATTCGAATTTCATTTAAACATTTAATGTTTCAAAAATTAATTCCTTTTTATATTTTGATTCCTAAAGTTTCATTTAACATCTTTTGTTTTTATTAAACTTTAATGAAAAAACCTTAAAGTTAAGTGCACTCGAATAATTTCTATTACATTTCTACAAAATTGCGATTGAATTTCTCTTGGAATTTCGCTGAAATAATTTCATTTAATTGAGGTACACACACGCTACGGTCGATTTTTGTGCATAATGAGCGGAGGCGAAAATTACAAAGGTCCCCATCTGGTTCGCACTCCCACAGCCAACCAGCCAACCGGCAAACCACCCACCCACCGTCCACCACCGCCCCCCACTGCCCGCGACCCCGCCCCTTTGCGAGCGTGCACAGCAAAGGCAATTAAAATTAATTTAAAATTTACTCGCCTGTGCAAATGAGTCACTCGGAAAAAGAGCAGATAAAATGAAAACAAAGACCGATGACCACAGCTCTCAATCAAAAGGAGAGCGCAATATCAGATGGACACGATTTTCCATTGGATAGTTTAAAATCTCCTTACGTTTTCAAATCGAAAATAATATTTATTAATTCTTACTTATAATACAATAATGCTAATAATTCCAAATTCTTATTTGCAGAAATGAGCCGAGCGGATCCGCCCGTCCTGGAGATTTATCCCAAGCAGGAAGTCCAGCGCAAACCTGTCGGCAAGTCCTTGATCCTCACCTGCCGTCCCAGAGTTCCCGATTCGGCTTTAGTCGCAGATCTGCAATGGAAGGACAACATGAACAACACCATCCTGCCCAAGCCGTAAGTTTTCCACTCCATCTCCCATAACAATTGGTTTTCGGTGGCCCCTACTGCAAATTTAAGTATTTACCTTTGTACAAAGACCAAACAAAAACAAAAACAACCAACACACCTATGTACACCCTCAACAACACTCGCATACACTTATCTCGAATATCGTATTGTAGGAATTACGATCCACTGTATGATTCCAAGGGCAATAGAAAGAAACTGTAAGTGACGCGATCAGCTATACAAAAAACCAAAAACAAAAACAAAAAGTAAATTCGTAACAGCAACTGCAACTGCAAGAGTAATAGTAACCAGTAACTTAACTGCAACTGCAACAGTAATCAGTAATCAGTAATCAGTAAATGCAAGTGCAACACGCATCAGTAAATAGCAAAATGCAACAGGAACAACTGACGATTTATTGACCGAACCAAACCGAACCGGACCTTTGAAAGTTAATTATTAATACGAAATCCTGAATTGATTCCGACGAACACAAAATATCCAGAGATCTGCGAAAATAGTTGGTAACTTCAACAGCAATTTTGTGTAGAGTCTGACATCTTGACGGCGACGAAAACATTTAAGTTGTAGACTCGTAGCTTTGCCTCTGCCCCGCCCCGCCCCTTTTCCCAGCCTCTTTTTGTGTCGTTGATTTTGGCATGATTATTGTTTGATATGTTCTTGTTTGATATTAACCATCTCGCTGCATTTTGGCCAGGTCCAATTTTGCAAGGGGCCTAACCTTAGAGTAGCATTTGGCATCTGACATTCCCATTCGACATTTGACACAACAGCACCCACTTTCACACACATCAATGTTCCCCCTGCCACATCCATCCCCATTAGTTGATGTACTAACAAATCTTCATATCGAGTTTCCAATTGGAGGTACATACTAGGTTTCTTGAAGCCGAAAAGAGCGATCAACGATCGATTTCATTATCGTAACTTTTTCTTAGCCTACATTTGTGCGCTCTTAAGCAAGGAATGACTATATTTCTTAAGGATTTCAGTATTCTAAACTATCATATTTCACAGTCATCAACAACAAAGAACTGCTAGAAGTAATTACACATTTTAAAACTGCCAGACTTCATAACGCTCACGGATAACACCATTCATTAGGTTGTCGTTGCACACAAATCCAAGATAGATTAAAAACATATTTCATGAGCCGGTAAATGAAAGGCTAAAAAGTTTTCGTACACAAAATAGAATTAAACAAAAGCTTTCTAGAGCGAAATCAGTTGAAATCCCTTGACAACAGCAAAAGGGAGGAAAATGCAATAAAGGAAAATCCTGCAAGGGAATGTGAAAGGCAAATGCGAATGGGAATTCTTAGGTCAAATACTCAGATCGAAATCTCTGCTTCCATCGTTTGTGTGTATATGTCTGTGTGTATGTGTGTGTGTGTGTGTGTGCCTGTTTGCGTGTGAAAAGCCAAATCGTGTTAATTAATTTGCATGCAGACTGGCCGGAGTGGGAAATCGAGGGAAATTAAGGGAAATGCACTCTCCCTTAAGAGAATGTTTCACACCTGACCCCAGTTTAACCCGTGGGATCCAAACAAAAAAAAAAAAAAAGTGTTTCACGGGGACACTTTCCGTCCATCCTTTTTTCCAAAGGAAATTTGTGTTGTGCCTTGGGTTCAGCCAATTCTGTCTTCATTTCTTTGCTTCAATTCATATTTGTATCGTATACCATTCAGTTGTCTAAGATATTGTACTTACCTTTCGAGGAAAAAAACATATAATACCTTTTGATACAATAATATACAAGTTTTTTTATCAGTTCTTTCTGGTGAAGATAAAATGAAGAATTTATATTTGCAAGGATACTTTTCGATTTCCCTTTTACTTTTGGTCATTTCGTTCATCATTTTCCGATTTGGCAAAGTCAGTTTTAATTATGATTGCGGCAACTCTGGCTGCCCGGTGGCTTTTCAATTCCGTTCACGCAAAAGTAAATGCAATTTCTCATTTCAAACGCTGTGTGGCAACCCTGGGTTAGTGGACAACCCCCATTTCCCCGCTCTCCCGCCATTTTCCCCCACGGTTTCCCTTGCTCTGCTGGCTTGCCTGCCTACTGTTGATTGTTTTGTGTTGGTTTGGTTTGGTTCGGTTCAGTTCGGTTTCGCGCTGCTCCTCTTCTCATCTCCGTTGTCGTTTTTCTCCAGCAGGCTGCTTTTTAGGGTCTGGCACCGCCCACGTGTACGCCCACCGCCCACCGCCCACAATACGCATGCAATGCATCGCATACTTTCAGGCGCGAAATGTAATTAAGCTGCCAAAAACCAACCGACAAGCCGGCCCACTTTCGCCCCCTTTCCGCTGGAAAGCGAGGAAAATGGTAGGATCCATGGTTCCGTTTATACTCGGGGCCAAGTTAATTAAAACGATTAAGTTCGGCATAGTTCTGTGGCCGTGCATCGCTTGCATTTTTGGGCCCGGCTTTCGGCGGGGACTTGGATCTCCAAATTTCCCTTTTTGCCGTTTTTGTTTTGTTGGTTTCTTTTTTTTTTTTGGCCAGTGGGCCTGCCAGCGGTCAGGATCTTTTGCGTTCCCCAAAGGGGTTTTACGGAGACAACAGATTGCAGGCATAATTCCGGGGAGGTGATGCCCAGTAAAAACCATGCCAAAAACCTCTAGTTGCCTCATTACGTTGATGGTTAACAAAAAGCTTTAAAATTGTTTAACTTCTGAATAACAATTGACCACTGCCTATCATTGAAAAAGAGCATAACAATTTCTAATAACACAAATTCTTCAAGGGATGCTATTGTGAAGTTTATATGCACTAAATTAGGAGGAGAATGGCAGGCGATCAATATTGCATTGTGTGGCAGTGAAATAACTAGGCAATGACTCCAGGACATCTCTAAAACGTCTTAGGGAAACCGCATGGAAACTTCCCGTTTTCCCAGGGCCTCCATTGCGTATTCAATAACAGCGACAACAGCAACAACAACAGCAAAGCAAAAACGACATCTTTATTCGCATCTTGATGAGGCAGAAGAAATGCAATAAAAAGGAAGAGAATTGGTCCCCAAGACGCCAAGGCTCCCAAGAGACAATCAACCAACAAAGGAACAAAAACAACAAATAACAAATGAAAAAGCGAGCAAAAATTTGATTTTTACGTATGCGTAACGGTTTGCTCATCCCTATTCCGTGCCATTTCCCTCCCCGTTCCGCTTTCCCTTCTCTATCCCTTTTCCAGTGCTCGGGTTTTCCGCTTTCCTATGTGCGCGGTGCTTGGCGCAATATTAAAAATCCAACGCAAATATGCAGCGAAATTTTTGCACAATGTCTTCCGAGCCACTCTTCTCTCACTCCGCCGAAAAAATTTCCCACCTCTTTTCCGCCCACTACTGCGGTTTTCCCGGGGAGGCGTCGTATTTTTTCTGCGTCAACAACTTTTGTTAGCATAATTTTGGGCGCAGCAATGACGATTTTCCATATTAAACAATTCAGGTTAAATCGATAGCAAGTCAGTCTATTGATGGGGAGAAAATATTAAATTTAAATTAAATTTGTTGGAACTCACGTTCAATCAATCTTCTTATAAATCTTATATAAATAAAAGAATGGAATTTAAATTTGGAATTATAAAAAGGCAACGCCTTTACCAATTGCGAAGGTTCGTATATTTTTGTAAGGCATCCTTGGAACTATTTTTTCTAGCCCCACTGTGCGGCGAACAAAAACCGTGAAGCGTTCGTTCTTCGCTTTCCGGAATATTTTTTCTGCTTTTGCATTTTTGCCAACAATTGCGAATCGCAAATCGAACGCAGGTTGTGCCTGTCCTCGCACAAACAGGGAAATTCAAACAAACACTCCACTCGCCCACATGTGCAATATATAAAACCAATTACAGTCGTAAAAACAAAAGTTGAAAAAATAAGAGACGAGTGCCTGTCACAAATTGAAATCTACCGCCGCAAAAAAGAAGAGGCCTTTCATTGACTTTTGCAGCTTTTCCAAATATTGGGATTTTCCCCTGGGTAAAAAATCCAAAAGAAAGTGCATCTTCATCTTTGTGTTCTGCCGTTCCGCTTTTCCCCCTTTCTTTTTTTCTGTGTGTATCTTTGCCTTCGTTGTTTTCCTTTTTAGCCGCGCAAAGTCGCAATAATAACAACGGACTCTATGCATATTTAGTTTCTGCGCCATGAAAACTTTTTTAATTAATTAGTACATGAGTCGCACAATGGCCAGCAGTTCGAAATGTGTTGGAGTTTTCGGTAATAACTCCCGCTTATTCGAGGGGAGTTCGGCGGGAGCACAATAATTTGTTTGCGTTATGGAATTTACTTCTGGTAATTCGCAAATACACAAAGGAAGAAATTGAAAACAGTCACGGAAAATTGCGAGCACTTAGAAGTGCAAAAGAAAACTGGAACATGGAGGAAACGCCGTTTGATTTAGGGCTTAATTAGCATATCGGGTAAACACGCAGGGAGCTGTAAGAAAATGTTTAAGAAATCAATTAAGGTTGAGCATTATATGGCTTTAGGAGTTAGGAGGCAATTGTGAGAGTAGTTTAAGCCATTCAGCAATTTAAAGCAATCTGAAAAATCGGGATAAGCTTTAACTGACTTCACACACTCGGGAAATTGAACTGCGAACACAAAGATAGGGTTTACTAGTTCAGCAGGGCTCAAAGCCTGCGAACAATCTGCGAATCAATTACACACAAAATACCGAATATTTTCCTCCATTTTGGCCAACCAAATAACAAATTTTAGCTTCGACGTGGCCGAAAAACATGATGGCGGTGGCCCTTATCGCATTTACATTGGAGGAAAAGCAGCTTTTTCCCCCGGAAAATGGGAACCGCATTTGCTGTTAAAGCCAAAGGAATTTTCACATTTCCTATTCAAGTTGCCGTGGCAAATTTGCGCAAAATGCGAAAAATATATTTGTAAACGAATATGCCATGAGGAGAAATGCGTAACACATTTGGGAAAGGCATGCAAATGAGCAGACAGGCAGGCGAGCAGGCAAATTCTACTAACAGCAACACAGCAACAGCAATTGTTATAAGCGTAAACATCAGAAACATAACCATAAAAATAATAATAATAATTATACCGAGAAACATACTCCCGTGAACTACTGACACCCGTCGTTCTCTTATTTCCTTAATCGTACAATTGAAATGCATATTATTCCGTTACTAATACACACACACAACCGTTTCCCGCTTTCCCTGTTTCCCCCGTTTCTCTTTTCCCCGTCTTCTTCTGGCTCGCTTTTCCGCCCAAAAAAGGAATGGACGCAACCAGCCGCCGATGTACACGGAAACGCTGCCCGGCGACAACCTCGCCCTGATGATTACCTCGCTGTCGGTGGAGATGGGCGGCATGTACTACTGCACCGCCTCCTATGCAAATACCGAGATCCTCGAGAAGGGCGTCACAATTAAAACTTACGGTAAGTGCCTGCTCCTGTACGTAATCAAATTTCTGTGGCGCCGCCCCAAATTGTTTTTTCAAGTTATTCAAGTGGGCCCGGGGGTATCGAATTTATTTAATCACTTCATCCGCCTTTTGGGTTACACATTCGTGGAATTTCCAACACTTTTGACCCATTCACAATTTATACAGGCTTTAACTCTGCTAACAATTATTATTTTCGATATTATAATGAGTGTTTTTATTGAGTTTGACTTATTTTACATTAATCTACCCCAAGGAGATCATATATAGTGCCAAAATATAATTGGACTTCTTTGTGACTGACCAGATTCCCTTCCCTTTGTCCCTAGCGAAGTACAGTTGTGTTCGAGGGAGCGAAATTTGTCGCTACATGTCGCAGCATGCCTGACTTGTTGTCGCCATCGATTAGGGACCATCCCATCTCCCTCTTGTCGTCCGTGAGGCTGTGAGTAATCGCCGTTTGAAAGCGGAAAAGCTCGACGTGATTCCTCTGCTGCATGATTCATTTATCTTGTTAGCAATTTGTGTCCCCTGCACATTGCTCGAGTGCCAAAGTGCCGGGTTGCCCAAGCACTGGACGCTCCGAAGTTACGGCAGTAAGAAATTACAGTTGCCGGGATTTCATTACATGCGCAGCATTGTAAACGAATCTAAAACAAAATGGATGCGTTCAGTGCAAAGCAATCGCTGAGGATCTGACCCCACCGGCCGCCCACTTTCATTTCTCCCAAAAGCAAAAAATGGATAGCAAAACAGCAACAACACAAAGCAGAACACGTTCCTCAATAAGCAGCCCAAAAACAAAATAAAAAAAAAAAAAAAAAAAAAAAACTCCAACCAGCACACTCACCTGCACACATTTTGCTGGCTCGTTGACTCTTTTTCCCCCTTTTTTCCCCCCGTTTCTGTAGTCGAGTGCACATAAGTGACGCTGCAGCTCAAAACTTTTACGAGATTGATTTTTCTAAGCAATTTAAAGTTCGTACTCATTGCACACACGGAGCAAAAACCACTGGGCGCTAACAACTGGAACCTACTACTGTACCTATCTGCTCTCGCCAGATGTTCAAACACATTGGGGGTGCGGGCGAGGAGGGCAGCTGGCAAAGGTAAAGAAATAGTGAGCCAACAAAACTCGTGCTCGTGATATGTGAGAAATTCTGGACTGTTACGGGATAGCACTGAACTGCACAGGGAAAAAATCTTTGCGGCATTACGACCAGGTTGAAAATGGAATAAACAACCCTTTTTTCAGGCAGTTCTTCTATTTGAACTGCCTTTCATGTGTGCAAACTAGAAGCAGTTGGGAGTTATAAGGTAGCAAAGGTTTTTTAAGGGAAATTCCTATTTTTTCTACCGTGCAGTGACATCCTCTCATTTGAAATAGAGAGGGCGAGTAAACTGTATTGAGGGGCCAGGCCGTCCAGGCCGGTGCGTTTGAAATGAAATCAAATATTTTGACGGGCAACAATTTGTGTCCGTTGATATGCGCACCCAGAACTGGAGAAGCAGTGTGCTTAGTGTATGGAAGCAATACGAGTACTAGTTGCACTCCAGTTCGGATCGATGTCAGGCAAACTGTTTGACTTGGAATGACTGCACTGGCTCCTTCTTTTCCATCCGCCGGAATGAGGTGCAGATAAATACGCGCTTTGCCATGGCTCCTGGGTCCTGGGCCCTGGGAAATTTACACACAATCACTGATCAGGACATCAGTATTGGTCAACGTGAGTGTTGGCAAATGCCAAACCATTCGTGTTACGTTAAGAGCTCTCCAACTCTGCGGTGGGAATGTTCGTGCTAAGCTCGCCTAAGCTCCGTTTCTCCAGAGAGAGAAGAGGAAAAGGGGGGAAAGCCAGGTTGACCGGACCAGAATTCAAATACAAAGCCTAACATCAGTAAGTTATCAACACCAACAAGGAGCAACTTAAGGATTGGGCCAAGGATGTGGCCGGAATGTAAAGGGCACGGCGAGGGGTTCCCATATAAGTAACTGGCATTGTGTTGACAACTCACAAGTTGCATTTAGTTAAGCAAATAAGCAGACACACTGGCGACAGAGACAGTCAGAGAGCTGAAGGCAAATTGCAAGATTTACTTTTCCTACACTGCTGGAAAATACAGAGCGGTTCTAAAGTTTACCCAACTGCCAGCTCAAACGAGCTCCCTCATCATTGTCTCATTTAATTCTCTATAATAAAAAGGATAAAATAACCTAAAATAGTCATAATCTTAATCCTACAATCCCAATACTTTATTATTTGTATTATTCGAATCCAAACTTCACTTTCAGTGTAGGAAAACAAACATGAGTCAGAATTCGAAAGGGGCGGCGGGCGTGGCGTATTTACATACCGTTGTTTGTGCCAGTCACAGCTTAATATTTCAATATTTATGCTTTTAATAAATGCATATGCTCAGAACAAACTTCCGCCAGAAAAGCAACAGCAGCAAAATAGTGGCAAAATACAGTGGTAGTAACTTAACTGAAGAATAAAATCTCCTTCCGTTCTCCGAAGCGCTTTAAGTTATCTTGTGCAGTTTGTTATTCCAGCTCGCAATTAAAGACATTAAAGCGCATTTGCTCGAAGAATAAAGTCTGGGAATCAATTCAATATTTACTCGTTTATAATAAACTAAGTCGTTTAGTCATCTGGAGGCCTATAATAGCCGACATCCTTTGCATTGTTGGCCATGTAATTGCCAATAATAATGTTGATTGGAGGCATTAGAGAGTTTGCACTTGATAAATATATATGTATGTATAGTACATCGATTTATCTGGCTTGGATGCCCAATTAGCTTGTTCCGGTTTTTGGAGACTGCAAACTGCATTGCTGTAATTTGTGCATTTTCTTCAAAGGACTCGCTTTTTGTCGGCCAGCCGTAAGACAAAGAAGAATTTATAGCATACTTTTCAGCTCTAAAGCAGTCGCTGACCAAATCATCAATTAGCACTTATTTTAATTGAGATTTGTGTGTCAACCTCTTAGACTTTGTTTGCCAATTTAAAGTTTTTTTAAAGTTTTTTTTTAAATGTTCAAATTGGGAAACATTTTTTTCGGAAATTTGACAAATTTCAGGGACAAGAAACATTCAAGAAAGAAGTAAAATGATAAAAGTTACTTTTTTAAGAAGATCGCCAGATAAATATTTAAATACTGTCCATAACCAAATTAGCCATAAATCGCTCCAACAGCAACAATCTGTATAATTTTATTATCACTTTTTGGGACCGGATTCGAACCTAGTCAGCGGTAATTTGAACCCATTGCCGGTCCGGGCCCCAAATCGAATTGCAGTTTACCCAGCATCTCCCTCCCCTTCCTTATCCATCATTTCTCTTTTTTTAATAAGTTGTTGCAGCAACTTTTTCAATAAGTTGTGAGTCATGTTCGGCGCTCCGTCGTCTTTGCCAAGCTCCGGATCCGGGCTCCTGGACTCGGGGACTCGTGGACTCCTGGACTCCGGGCTCCTGGACTCCGGCTTGTCCTTGTTCAAACTAATAATGAAATCGTAAACTAGTTCATCTTTTTCCTCTCCGTTCGGGGCGTCTGTGGGTGGTATGTGGGTGGGTATATCTGTGTGTGCTGGCTGCCCATCAGATGTCAGAAACGAACGCAGCCAGCGAAAAGTGTTTGAACAACAAAATCTCACACGCTACGACAATGCAGCCGAACTGAAAAGAGCAAGGGGATAAGCCGGGGCAGGGAATATCCTGGCAAAATCCTGGAGAACGGAGGGAAATGACAGGAGCAGCAAGTTTTTATTTATTTTATATGTTGTGTGGGTGCAACAAAATACAAAAAAAAACCAGAAAAAGAAAAAGCTGAGAAGGGAAGAAGGGAAGAAGGATCCAGGACATCCCGACCCAGACACTGCCAATAAAAAACTGCAAATAGAAAATGTTTTTAACACAACTTTCCGTTATTTTGGCTTTGGCTTTAGCTTGCGCTAAAACCAAATACGCCGGACATTCCAGCTTTCGAATATATATATTTATATATATATAAATATCCATGATATATATAGAAATATGGAAGCCTGACAGGCGGCCGACAGACACAGATGGCTTGTTATTACACTGATTTATAAAGAAAATGTGAATATGTGAGCCACACACATGCTGGCTTTGAAAGGCTGCCAATGAAGGGTAGCAGCTTTTTGGCTAAGATTACCTTTTCAAATGCAAAATATGATGATATAGCGGAAGGCTGTGGGATCCATTAACACCTGAAAGGTGTTGACAAACGGGTTTCTTTCCCCCCAAAGAGTCGAAATCCTGGGCCAGATTTGCATTGGCAGAGTCGAGAGTGTAAAATATAAAAGTAAAACCAACTGACAGGTAGATTTTAAGTTCATATTGACATGGTTTTCCAGAAACTCAAAGCTGTTATTTCAGAGGATTATCCATGTGTCTGCAGAGTGAAAGTGTTAAAGAACACACGTTAATATGACATTGATGCTGTGGTAAAACTAGATGTTCCCATAAAGAGTACAAAGGTTCTTGCAGCACAACTGTACCATAAACATAAAGTGTATTTTGTAAATTGAATAAAAAAGCTCTTATCCCCATCCACTTTGTAGTGCAGTCAGCAGGAATATATATACAGAAATTCAGTTAACAATTCTTCTTTGGCCTGCCAACTGTATTTTCTCTTTTTCTCTATTACGCCCCCTTGGCTTTTGAACACAACTGTACCTGTAATTTACCTGTGCGATTTCCCTTTTGCTTTGAGGCCTTTTGATTATTCTCTAGATTTAAACAACTCTTCCGCTTCACGCCTTGACTCTTTCTATCCGAAGTCTGAGCTTTGATTTGCCAACACCTAGTACTTTGCCATCGCCCCCCTTTTCATCCGGACGGACGCCCCTTTTTATCTGCTTGTTATTGTTGGTACTTGGCACTACAAGTATTTGATGTAGGAATTTCACTTTTGCAATGCACTACAATCTTTTTTTTTTTTTTTTTTGCTCTTTTGCCCATTTTCAATTTCCAAGTCATCTCGCCAGTGGAGATTTATTGGCAGTCGAGGCAGGGGCGTCCGTCCGACCCCCCTTTTCCAGCTCGTTAGTGACCCTTAGCAGAGGAGAGGAGAATGCCGCGCACATGTCTTGGACTTTGTGCTTGATGCTTGAATTGCTTTTATGTGCCCGACAGTTTGTTTAAAATTATATTACGTATACGCCACGTTCAGCTTCGCTCGGATTGTCAACATGACCAGAAAAATAGTGCTCTTGCTTGGCTTGCATTTTCCTCTGGCCTCCGTCTCCGTCTCCTTTTTTTTCTATTTTTTTGTATTTTTTTCTGTGCCCATGTCTGTGTGCTGTGTAAATGAATGCGAAGCAAAATCAAACAATTTGTGCACACCTAGCCCTGGAATTTGTTTGTCGCAGGATTTCAGAGCTCTTATCCTGGCACAGCTGGCCATCGTCTTACTGTCTGCGAAGCAACAACAGCATCCAAGTGCTGCTCCAAGTGTACATTGAATCAGGAGAAACCGAACAGGGAATGCATATTTACTCGAAATAATGGTTTATTATTTATTAGGGCTTATTCGTCGGTCGCTTGCATCACAATTTACTTTCTAAAGGTTTTATTTAATACTATTTTAATAATACTATTGCACCTTGTCCCTGTTCTTGCAGTGGCCATCACCTGGACGAATGCCCCCGAGAACCAGTATCCCACCTTGGGCCAGGACTACGTGGTCATGTGCGAAGTGAAGGCCGATCCCAATCCGACCATCGACTGGCTGCGCAACGGAGACCCGGTACGTAAACCCCAAACCCCCAATAAACTATTAATGATTAATGATTAATGATTTCCATCCACCATCAGATCCGAACCACCAACGACAAGTACGTGGTGCAGACGAACGGCCTGCTCATCCGCAACGTTCAGGAGAGCGACGAGGGCATCTACACCTGCCGTGCGGCCGTGATCGACACCGGGGAGCTGCTCGAGCGCACCATTCGCGTGGAGGTCTTCATCCAGCCGGTGATCGTGTCGCTGCCCGCCAATCTGGAGGCCGTCGAGGGCAAACCGTTCGCAGCCAACTGCACGGCGACGGGCAAACCAGTGCCGGAGATCAGTTGGATTCGCGACGCCACCCAGCTGAACGTGGCCACCGCCGATCGCTTCCAAGTGAATCCACAGACCGGTCTGGTCACCATCAGCTCGGTCAGCCAGGACGACTACGGCACCTACACCTGTCTGGCGAAGAACAAGGCCGGCGTCGTCGACCAAAAGACCAAGCTGAACGTCCTCGTGCGTCCGCAGATCTACGAGCTGTACAATGTGACCGGTGTGCGGAGCAAGGAGATCGCCATCACCTGTCGGGCGAAGGGACGTCCGGCGCCGATGATCACCTTCCGTCGGTGGGGAACGCAGGAGGAGTACATGAACGGCCAGCAGGACGACGATCCGCGCATCATTCTGGAGCCGAATTACGACGAGGAGCGCGGCGAGAGCACCGGCACCCTGCGCATCGCCAACGCGGAGCGATCCGATGACGGCCTGTACCAGTGCATTGCCCGGAACAAGGGAGCCGATGCCTACAAGACCGGACACATCACCGTCGAGTTCCCGCCCGACTTCAGCCACATGAAGGACCTGCCGCCCGTCTTCTCCTGGGAGCAGCGCAAGGCGAACCTCAGCTGCCTGGCCATGGGCATCCCGAACGCGACCATCGAGTGGCACTGGAACGGCCGCAAGATCAAGGACCTGTACGACACCAACCTGAAGATCGTGGGCACTGGACCCCGCAGCGACCTGATCGTCCACCCGGTGACCAGGCAGTACTACTCGGGATACAAGTGCATTGCGACCAACATCCACGGAACCGCCGAGCACGACATGCAGCTGAAGGAGGCACGCGTGCCCGATTTCGTGTCGGAGGCGAAGCCCAGCCAGCTGACGGCCACCACGATGACCTTCGACATCCGCGGACCACCCACCGAACTGGGCCTGCCCATCCTGGCGTTCAGTGTGCAGTACAAGGAGGCCCTCAATCCCGACTGGTCGTCGGCGTACAATCGCAGCTGGTCGCCGGACTCGCCGTACATCGTTGAGGGACTGCGGCCGCAGACCGAGTACAGCTTCCGCTTTGCCGCCCGCAACCAGGTGGGACTGGGCAACTGGGGCGTCAACCAGCAGCAGTCGACGCCGCGTCGATCGGCGCCCGAGGAGCCCAAGCCGCTGCACAGCCCCGCCCAGCACGACGAGGAGGAGCCCGTGGTCGTCTCCAGTTACTCGGATCACTTTGAGCTGCGCTGGGGCGTGCCCGCCGACAACGGAGAGCCCATCGACAAGTATCAGATCAAGTACTGTCCGGTAAGTAAAGAGATCTTCTCCAGAGATCATAAAAGGGTTCCCTTAAGCCTCAAGGGTTTAAGGATATCAATCTGAATCTGCAAGTAACAGTAGCAAGTAACATTTTATTAATCAACCTATTTCTTCGCTTGCAGGGCGTTAAGATCAGCGGCACTTGGACGGAACTGGAGAACTCCTGCAACACGGTCGAGGTGGTGGAGACCACCTCCTTCGAGATGACCCAGCTGGTGGGCAACACCTACTACCGCATCGAACTGAAGGCACACAACGCCATCGGCTACTCGTCGCCCGCCTCGATCATCATGAAGACGTCACGAGGTGAGTCCGATTCCGCTAATAACAATCTCGGCACGTTGCTCTATTCGGCCGGATATAATTCCGGCGGCGTGGGTGCGTTACACAAACGACTGTTCACAACAACAACAACAAAAGCCACATCGACAACAACAATCACATCGATAACAACAGCAACAACAACAACAATCATTACGCTGGCCACCACAATAAGCATAACATTACTTAGTGTCCTAGCCTCAATGTTAGTCTAAACGAAAATGTCTTCTTAAAAAACTTGAATCAAAAGATGAATCAAATCGATCGATCGAATAGCCCGATAAGCGCTATAATTCTGCGTCCACGAGACCGTGTAATATTTTTCTAAATGTGAACGCAGAGTTATTTGGGCGCCCAGTGATTTTTGGCTTTTTGAAAGTTTGATATTGAGAGCACTTGAAATATCAAATCAAATCGTATCGCGTCTACAAGATCCCAGCAAAAAAAACAAACATCAAACATATAATTGAGAAATCTCTATATATATTATACACTCACTTACACGGAAATCATCTACATGATATCTAGATAAAGACATAATTTTTACTGCTCTATATATATATATATGAATATGATATATATCCCAGATATAATCGATCAATTTTGCATACATTTTTGTAGTGTTTATTTCAATTGCGTTTCAACTTTTGTTTCTTGTTCACACTCAGTGAACACCTTCCCCAAAGTAATTTCCCCCTTAACATCCTAAAATCCAAACCACCAACTTTTATCCAACATTTACTTAATTTGCTCAACGTTTTAACTTAATTTCATTGTCCTTTGTTTGAAACTTTGTTTTTGTGTTTGCATGTTTTTGTGACCTCTGAATCGTCTAGAGCATCTTAACCGTTTAATTATTTTACTGATAACCCATGAATATATATTGTATACATTCCAATCGAAATGTCCTCACATCACAGACCCACTGAGCCCTGAAATAATGGCAAAAGTGTTGCAACGCATTTGACTAAGCATTACAATTCATTCGATCGCGTTGTCGTCCCTCTGAAATTCAAATTCATTTAACTTTCGCATTTAAATGCCACCACACTCTCGTCAGTCAGCCTTTGTACGATATATAGAAATATGAGAGATGCAAGCGTCCCGAATTGAGTTTTAGCTTACTTTACACTATTTTTTTTTAATACAATTCTTAAGCATTTACTTAATTATAATTATCAACAAAAACACACTAAACGTACATTTTTGACACGAAATGAAAAGAAACATCTCAAAATTTATAATTTTATATTTTTGTGTGTGTGCATTCATCACAGTTTTCGATTGTAATAATTTTAATACGTATAACGAAACGAAAAACCATGTTAAATATAAATCTAGTTTGTAATGGAACAAAAAAATACTTTGAATATTTTCTGTTTGAAATTGGATTACTACCACACTAGAATTCATCATTATTATTTTTATCACACCAATTTTAATTTGAATTAATTTGATTTTGTGTGTATACTGCGACTAAATCTTTAGTTAAATTTTTGAATTATAAGCGATAAAAAGGAAAACGTTTCTCAAATAAAACATTTAAAGAAAACCAATGAAACAACCTGTAATTTACTGCAAATGCTGCCAACTATTTTATTATGAATTATGCCTGCGTTGTCTCTCTGTCTCTGTCTCTTTCTCTCTCGCTCACCCCCACTTACACTGTTGCCCTCTCTTTCGCTCTCGCTGTGTCTTTATTGTCCTTCGATTTGTTATCCTTTTGTTTTAATAATTTTAAGTAAATGTTGTGCGTAGTCCGTTTCTTTGTGTTTGTGTAAGTAAAGCCTTTGTGCTTGTGTGTGCTATCTCTCTTTCTCTAAATATCTCACCCCAATTGTGTGTACCGTTATTCCAAAAATTACCTATCCCTTCAGCTTTTGCCTAGAATTAACCCCAATTTAAAATATAACCCCAAACTTAACCTTAACCTTAACCTTGATCTTTTGACTTATCAGTGAACTTAGTGTGTGCATCTAATTAGGCATTTAGTCATAGCTATTATCCTAACCAACAACAACCACAGAACTCAACTAACAACACATTCGTGGCCCTTGTACAAGAGAAACAAACACTAGAAAGCAAACACAAACACACAAACTCGAAACCGAGTCAAACAAAACCAAAGAAAACAAACTAACAAACAACTTACTCACACTTTGCACATTGTGTTTGATTCAACGTCGTCGTCTTCCCAGTAACCAAAACCAAAAAATAAGAAACCTTAAAAGTCAAGACCAACCAACAACAACGAATTGTTCTTTTGTGTGTTCCTTTCTTCCTTTTTCTTCTATCACTTTTTCTTCCTTGTTTTTTTCTCTCTTTTATGGTGTGTGTGTGCTAAAAACCACAACAACAACAACTCCTACTTCTAAAATCAATTAAAATCGAACTGTGCAAATGCGAAAATGCATTAAAATAACCAAAAAAAAAAAAATCGACAAACAATCGAAAAAAAAAAAACCAAAAACCAACAGATAATCCCCATCCCTCGGGGCGTGGTGCTGCGTCCCAGGTCCAACTGCTTGCCCTTAGCGCTGCTCTGCCGACGTTACTGTTGATCCTGCTGCCGACGACGCGCACTGCCTAAGCGACCACAGCTGCTGATGCTTTTCCTGCTTCCACCCATCAACAAGCAGTGCTTGGAGGATCCTTCCGCTGGCCGTTTATCATGGGTTTTCCTTCTCTAGTTTCCGTTTGGCGTGTCAATGTGTAAATACTAAGAAAACGTGAAAAAAAACCAAAAAAAAAGTAATAGAATAAAACATACACTTAACTAGCATGATGAAGCGAACATAATAACTTTAAATGTGCTCAAGTAGAAACTATGATCATTAAATATCATCACTTAGGGCGGGTCACGATTCTATTAACTGTACAAACAAAAAAAAAACCAAAATCTACGATAAAGCCTAGTTAAAAGCAAGGAAGACGAAAACGGATTGCCAAACCGAAACACATGCTTACACAACTGATAAATTGTTCTTATATGTATCCTACACCCTATGTCTAACCGCTAGAGACCTTGTGTTACCACTAAGTCGATGTTAAGTTGTTATTTAGTTCTATGTGTATAGCGAGAGCATTTAGAGAACACATTCAGATTCCCGAAACCAGTTCCGCTTAGTTCAATGTGAATTTAACAACACTGCCAAGCGACAAAAAAAAAGTAAAACCAAAGTAATGAAATTTATATGAAAAATTTTAGCGAAATTCTATAAGAAGATTAAGATTAAAAGAAATATCAAGTGCATACGAGTACAATTTACCAAAACAATTACATTTACGCTCTATACCTTAACACCTAAAGATAGCCAAATAGCTTCTTCCAACACTGTTTCCAAGACAGTCGCAAGCAGTTTAGCCGCGTCTCTTTTCCGTTTTGAGTGTTTAAACGTTAAGAGGGGACAATAAGTAACTCTAACTATGTTAAAACGGTGCGATTACGAATTTTTCCACACAAAGGGCTCAAGAGTGTTTTTAACTTCCGTTGATAGTAATCGTTTAGCAAGCCAAAAAACATGAATGCAACTCGATCTAGACGTACCGACATTCCTGTATACACGTTTTTTTTAGCAAGCGAAGTCGATTTTTCTAGCCAAATATATAAAGTAACTCCAAAAAAGAAGAGAATACAATTTATACCTTTACAATATCTAGTTATACATACGTATACACATATAGTTAGTGAATAATTCAGCCCGCCTAACGTTGCTGAGATGGGGAAAGTGTTTTTTTTAACGCCCTTGGCAAGCAGTAGAAACTTTCACTGTTCTCACAAATCACACATAAATACAATGTCATGAATGTTGTAAGCAAATGAAATCGAAAAATGAAAACGAAAGCGAAAACTATAACAAATTGGTAATTGAAACGAAAAGAAGGCCTACCACTTAAGGAGTTCATTTTGGGTAATAAAGAGAAAACTTTAACATAAAGCAGAGCGTGCGTGTGTGACTTGGGACAGGGTTGCCACCAGCATTTTGGATGCCGCCAGGTAACAAAAAGGATGTGTTTAGCGCCTATATCTATGTATTTTAACAAATTTATTGCACTGCACACGGAATAATCAGAGACACTAACAGCCAATCAATATATAACCAACAAAGGAAATTGTATCCCAAAAGAAATTGAAAGAAATCTGTTAATAACAAACCCTTATCGTTGATTGTTAACTGTTATTATGTTATATAGTTCCAAAAACGAAGCAAAGCACTCTAGGCAAACGTTTCCCTCGACCTTCTAAAAAACCTTTTCCCGCACACAAAATGTACATACACATACACCTCTATATAACACAAGATAAACTCAATTATAACCCTAAGTTAAACTGCTTAAGACTGCTTGTATACTTTGCATATTGGCCTATTTTTGTAATTTGCAATTTGTAAAAACTAAGACACTTCTACCAGCCGCTTCTTTCTCTCACTCTCACCGCCCACTTTCTCTCTATCTCTCTGTGCTGAGCGAAGTCCCCATATACTCCCTTTTCCCCCGGTTGCATGCCCTTTTGTACACCCTTGTCTTTTGATATATGCAAAAAAAAAAAACCAAGAAAAAAAAGATGCAAAAAATACAACTTTGTACTGCTAAGTTTGTTGCTTTGTTTGAAAATGCTTTTCATGTTATGTCAATTGGTGCAATTTGAAATTGATTTCGTACTTCCCCCTCGTATTTTTCGTTTTTATGATTGATACTTACCGATACTGTTATGATTTTGTTATGTTTAACCTTAGTTCAAAACTAATTTCAACCACAAGACAATACACACACAAAAATGTAAAATACTTTAAAACGATTAACCAGCGATTAAGAAGCAGAGTTTAAGTGTGTAAGATTAGCTGTTAAATCGGATGAGTTTTCCTAGGCTAGTGAGCCAGGTGCTGGCCCCGTACCACCTAAAGATACGTATAGTTAACACCCCAACCCACAGATATCTTGACTTGAATGACAACTTACTAATCGAGTACACTTGTTTTACCCCCCTCCACACCCGCATCCTGCGTTCCGCTGCACCCTCTCCTAACCGCGAAAAAAAAACAACAAAAAAACGAAAAACCACACCAAACCACAACCACAACAGGAAACGACGTGATCCAGGTGGCCAAGCGACAGGTGTTCTCCTCGGCGGCCATCGTGGGAATCGCCCTGGGCGGCGTCCTCCTGCTCCTGTTCGTGGTGGACCTCCTCTGCTGCGTCACCGTCCACATGGGCGTCATGGCCACCATGTGCCGCAAGACCAAGCGATCGCCCTCCGAGATCGACGACGAGGCCAAGCTGGGCAGGTAAGTCGCATCCACTTGCCATTCCTACGCATATCTTGTGCAGACAGGGATAAACCAAGGTGTATTTGATCTTAACTCCCTTTTTCACCCAGTCAATGTGATTTGAATTTAATACTCTTTTTGCTAGCTCTAAAATTAAATTAAAATTTAATTGAAAAAATGTTAAAATGTAGTTTTGATAAACGAGTAATGAAAGCTTTTACTTCTCTCACTCCATATTTGTAGAGCATTTCAACATTGCTAATAGAATGTATTTTTATTCGAATTTTTGAACAGCTCTATATATATAATGTCCGTATCTTCTTCTTTCCTGAACACATATCACATAATATAATTTTGTAATAGCTAAGTCAATAAGAAAAGATCAAATCAACCTCGAACTTATCGCTCAAATGTTTACTCTTACTTTTTCTGTGTACCTAATTTGATTGGAATATGTTTTTTGCTCAAGACAACGAAATGAAACGAATATTGCACTAAAAATCAGAAACGAAACAAAATTTAACCTTTTTGCCTTTTGCGTTCTGCTTGTGTTTTTCCCCACACGCTCCTATAATGCGATAAAAAGCCGAACTCACAGGCGCCAGGACTTTGAGTACAATTGGGTTTATGCGCGGCCCAAGTCCTTGTTGTTCAATCGCAATTCCCTGATATCCGTCTGAGCGGTTCGCCAAGTCTCCAGAGAGACCCACCAAAACTCGAATTCCAAATTGTCAACCGCTTTACGTTTGCCTTTTCGTTTGCCACCAAATTTTTAGTGCAATATTGAATGTAATTCCAAGAACAAAACAGAACAACACAAACCCCGTCACTAATTTAGTTCAAGAACTTACACTCGTTGACACGAATACACCGAATTTTGCTTCTAAGCCATTTTCTTAGTTTGTTGGCTAATTGTACAATAAGAATGTTAAGAAAATATAAAAAGTGCCGAGGGTGCAATGAGTTAAAGATTTAGAGTTAAGAGTTATAATTGAGAAACTTTTTTTGAGTAATGTTAAATATATTTTTGAAAATTTATCTGTTTCTCAGTAAGAACTCTACTAGCCAGCTCTTGATTTTTATTCATTCACAAATCACACACACACACAAATTCACCATTGTTGTCACCTACATACCAAAAAAAATTAAAAAAAAAAAGAAACTCAAACTCCATTGCTATCTATGTGTTCTACTCTCTTATCGATACTAAATCAACCTCATCATGTATTATTCCAATCATCACACATCCAACAATCCAACCAAATCCAACCAAACCGAACCACAATATCAACCCAAAACCATCTAACCAAGCAGTCTTTACGGTTGGCGTTTTCCGCTACCTTATTGCAGTGGCCAGCTGGTAAAGGAGCCGCCACCATCGCCGTTGCCACTGCCGCCGCCCGTCAAGCTGGGCGGTTCGCCCATGACGTCGCCATTGTACGTACCTCACTCTTCCGTTCTCCGTTCTCCGATTTCCGTTTACTGCTTTCCGACTTCCGCCTTCCGTTTCCGCTTTCGTTTCGTTCTCGTTCTCGCTTCCGTTACTGTTTCTATTTAAATTTCCGCTACCGCTTTACTTTTTGATTTCCTTCGCCACTCTGAGTTTTCGTTGTCTGTTTAGTGTTTGCGTTCCTGATTCTGCCTTCATCTCGATAACTATTACCCTATCATCTATCCAAATATCCATAAGTCATCTGCATTAGCTAGCACTGCATGACAGTTAAGATTTGATATAGCATACTATATATTGGTATGACACTAAGATCTATATTTTTTGAAACAGATTAGAAGAGTAATTATTTTGAATTTATTTGGTTTGGCCTTGCCTTCTTTAAAGTTCATTATTTAAAAGTTAAATTATATAAATTTGTGTAGCTATCAAGCTTAACAAGTAAATTTAGTTGGTATATCATCAGTGTCATACCGAGGGTGAAATAAATCCTTTCAATAAATGTTGAAACTAGCAAAAGGTGAGGAACAACTTGCATGCGCGTAGAAGGCAGCTTTAGCATGACTGCAAGAAAGTTGAGATTTATTTTCAGTGATTCTATCGCCACGATTACTAACCAACCTCTTTTCCTCTTGACCTTCGCAGGGACGAAAAGGAGCCGCTGCGCACGCCCACCGGCAGCATTAAACAGAACTCGACCATTGAGTTCGACGGTCGATTCGTGCACTCCCGCAGTGGCGAGATCATCGGCAAGAATTCGGCGGTGTAAAGTGGGTTTCCGCAAGTCGGGGAACCCCAGCACCAACCGCAATGTGCACAAAGAGGAGGAGGAGGGAGATATATATATGATATGCGATGATCTAGCGAGAACAAGCCAAAGCCAAAGCTGGGGGAAGAACACTTGAGAAAATCGATCGATTGGCACACTAAGTTGGTTTTAATTTACTTTCGTACACAGCGTAAACCTTACTAAATGTCTTACTCTAATACATACGATATCTTTAAAGCATTTAAACACATTAAGCTCGAAAAACCAACCACAAAGATAGCAGAACAAGAACAATTCCATGTCGCTTCATTTTCTAGTTTGTACAAGTATATTATACTTTAAATCGCTGCATTTGCTTTGTTTTCCCCTAAGTCACAAGAAAGAAAGAAAGCATAAAATTACAAATACCGATGAACAAAGGAGGGGTGAGTTAATAAAACAAAGAGAGATGATCGAGGTGGACCTAGCCTAAGTTACATATAAAAGTATAAATATGTGTATGCAAGAAGGAAATCTTAAATTAATGCCTTACAAACAAAATTACATTTATTTAGCAGTTAAAGCGAAGAGAAGGGTTGAATGCATGTAGGCCGCAAGGAGTAAGAATGATTTCTTTAGTATAACTAACTTAAACATGCCATAAATAAGTTTTAACATTAAGTTTGACCCCTGATCATCATCCCCACCAATTCGTAGTACTTAAAACGCTGAACAAAAGACTTGCAAGCATTTCTTTCGACAAACACATGACATGAAAACAGATAGATCAACGGAGAGAAAACCAGGGAAGGGACTTGATTATTTAGTCTATATAGAGCTCCCATTTCCCATTTGCTAATTCACATACTTAACCACCAGAAAGTGTAGCCCACGGACGGCACCTAATGAAAAATGCTCAATGTACATTAATGTTGACGAAATTGAATATTCGAAATGTTTACGAACTGCTTAGCTGCTTGAAAAAGGAAGCGTTTCCGGTTCTCCCACTCAAGTTCAGACGTGCTGAGAAGACTCGAACTAAACCAAATTAATTGCTAAGTTGTAGCGAAACCGAAGAACTATGAGATTGCCAAACATAAAGATACACTTACTCTTCATCCCACTTCCATCAAACAACTGCAAATCGCTCAGTTTTGTGTTAAAAGTATTTTCTTATGTATGTAAAAATTAAACAAATTCTAGTTAAGAGATCTGGAACGCATTAACCTAACGGATATATAAATCTTAAAATATATATATGTATGTACATGTATTTAAAGTAACTCGTAAGTTTTTTTTTTCTACACAAAAACAAAATAAAAGGAACATCCAAAAGCGAACTACATATATGTATGTAAACATGCCGATTTTAATGCATGTATGTTATATCCGCCATTGAAAACGCATTTTATTTGACCCCGTACACAAATCCTCGATCCTTCGCAGAAATCCCTTTTTTTTCTGTTCGTTGCCAATGAGCTTTTGTAGCTTATGTTGCCAGTTAAGTCAAGCGCCTTGTCAGAGCTTTTTACCTATAAATATATACACACGATACTATACAAAACCCCTATCGAATAACCCACAAAGCGATCCGAAGTCGAGATGACAGGAGACACCACAATATGAATTTGAATTTGGACGCTATTGTTTACGGAACTGCTGGCCAATCGAGCATATGAAATATGTTTGCAAGAAACCGAACGGATCGAACCACTTGATCCCTCCGTTCGGCGGCAGAGTGTAGCTTTTTATATAAACTAAACAAAATTGATGAAAAATTATACACTAAAACTGAAACGGGGGAAAATAAATCGTATTTACTGTACCATAATTCAAAACGATGTCGTTTAATTTAGCACTATTATTGTGATCAATTTTATTGGCCCTTAACAGGAGGCACACAAGGAAAACAGGTTTTTACAATTGCTGTTGGGGTATAGTACAATAATGGGGGAATAATTAAAGAGTACTTATCATCAAAGTATTGTCAGGAGGCACAAAATGGAACTAACTTTTTCGAGGTAAGTTAATTAGGCAACGCGTCATAGGACCCCACGGAGACCATACTGCAGATAGACTAGGGACTATCCTAAACAGATATGTTACAACTTTGATTTGAGCATTGTACAACTAGTAGTAGTATTTCATAAATGAAACTTGCGCTAATACTCGGGGGTGTCACATGAATCTCATTTGGTTTGTAATACTCTTTTCGTATGCAATCTGTCTTTGATAAATTATACATAAATACATGGTTGAATTGCACTAAACACATCTCCAAGAAAAAACCTTTGTTTTGACTTTGTGCTTAACATAATCGAGTTGAACTAAAAATTATTTGCCAACACCAATTTTTAAAGTAAGATTAAATGATCATGAGGTATTATCGCTAAAGCAAATAAACTTGATGATACCACTAGGTAACGTAAGTGTAGAGCATTCGGTGACACCCCAGATTGTTGTTGAGACGAACACAGTAAATAAATTCACTAGGCGAAGGGTTGGCTAAGAGTTTTTACAGTCAAATCCAGGGGACTAGACCTCCATGCCGCCATCGGACCGCTGGCCCTTCTTTAGGAGCGCCTCCTCGGCGGTCAGTTTGGTCTTCTCGGTGCGCGTGTGCCAGACGAGGACGTCCCGACAACCGTTGGCCAACGGCTGCAGCTGGTCCCTGGTGGTCAGGTGCCGCAGGATCTCGCTTTCCTGGTAGCCCCGCTGCACCTCGTACGAGAACATGGCCTGCGGATTCCGGATGAACAGGTCCATACTGATGGCGAAGGCAGCCATGTCGATGGGGAAGGGTCTCTCCGGCCGCCAGGCGGCATTGAAGCCCGTCACCTGGGTGCCGTCCTCGTTGAGCAACGGTCGCTCAACCATCAGGCCGCCGACCAAGCCCACCGGCCAGACGCCCACGCGGCCCCTTTGGATCTTGCTCATCTCGGCGAAGAGCTCAGTGGAGTATGAGTTGTCGTCGTCCATGAAGAATACTATGGAGTGCCGGTCGACATCGACGTGTTCCCTGAGCCACGCCAGGGCCAGGTTCCTCTGCTCCACGCCGCGGGGCTTGATCCAGTTGGGGTCCTTGCCCTTCAGCTTGAACTCCGGCGGGGTTTTGATGTTTAGCTGCGTGGACCGCTTCTCCAGGCCGGACCGCTTGAGCAGATTCCTCACCAGCGAGGTGGTGGCGTTCGTGTCCTCCACGATGATCCAGTGCAGGTGAGGCATCAGCATAAATAGGTGTGACAATCTGCAATTCAGTTGGGTTAGAAGTGTTTTAGCAACTAGTGGGTACTCCACCTGGTCAGCTCCGCTTTCTGGGCGGGCCGTGGGTACGTCGGCGTTACGGCGTAGATCGTGGGTAACGTGTCCGCCTGGACAAACATGGCCTGGAGGTACTCTGGACCCTGGCAGGTGCGCTTCCCGTTCCGGTGCACCATCATCAGCACCACCAGGAAGACGATGAGCAGCACGAGAACTTGGCGCGGGCGAATGCGGACCTCCGACATCCTGAGGCAGTTAAAAACTGTAATTTGTTTAAACAAACAAATGGGGACCTCAACGGCAGCCACTGCCTAAATAACGGCAGCCAACGGTCACATTGCCCAACGCCGGCGAAAATATTTAAAAAGCAATTCGCCGCTGTTAGCTTTAAGTTACCGTTGTATACAACCATGCTTTGAAACTGGACTAATTATACTTACTTGACACGTTATGGTTAAAAGGAGTAAGTAGTTTCTACAAATTAGGTGGATTTTGTAGACGACAATAAAAAATTAAATAAAATGATTTTTGTTTGTTTTATTGGGGGTTATCATGGCAAATCTGGAAGATTTTGAAATTTTAGACACCAGGCGAACAGAACCGCCTAGCAGATTAACATTCATTTAAAAAAAAAATGGATAAGCATTGACCATTTGGAGAGCCAAATTGGCAATTTCTAAAAACGAAATACCAGGCGAACAGAAATGCCCAGCAAGTGACTACAAAATCCGAAATCCAAAAAAGCAGCCCCTTAAGATATGCAACAATATCAGCAGCCCCTTAAGATATGCAACAATTCCCATCGGTGGATGGCTTAAGATCATGGTTCGAAACTTGACTATGCATGATCTACGAAAAATACGGGGATTTTGTGATGGGCATCACTGGTAATGCTGGGTTTGAAACTCGAATAATAAAAATATAAATTAATTTGATAAGAAATGTTGCATATCTTAGGGGGCTTCCAAATTTGTAGAATACTTATGGGGGCTCGTAGACAAAACGTGGTGTTGCTCTTGATTATTTTTATAGCATACTTTTGCGGGCAATTTGAAAATATTAAAAAAAAGAGTAACCACCTACTATTGCATTCTGTTCGCCTGGTACTTCAAAATGAGGTTTGGTTGAATATGTTGGTATTGGCGGAACGAATTCGAAGGGACAAATTGTAGCATACTTATGGGGGCTCGTAGACAAAACGTGGTGTTGCTCTTGCTTATTTTTTATAGCATACTTTTGCGGGCAATTTGAAAATATTAAAAAAAAGGTTAACCACCTACTATTGCATTCTGTTCGCCTGGTACTTCAAAATGAGGTTTGGTTGAATATGTTGGTATTGGCGGAACGAATTCGAAGGGACAAATTGTAGCTTACTTATGGGGGCTAGTAGACAAAACGTGGTGTTGCTCTTGTTTATTTTTTATAGCATACTTTTGCGGGCAATTTGAAAATATTAAAAAAAAGAGTAACCACCTACTATTGCATTCTGTTCGCCTGGTACTTCAAAATGAGGTTTGGTTGAATATGTTGGTATTGGCGGAACGAATTCGAAGGGACAAATTGGAAAATCCACTTTTAGGTACCAGGCGAACATAATCCATTAGTAGGTGGAAATCGACAAAATTTTTGGAAAAGTTGCTCACTGACAGAAGCTCTATGCTACTAATTGCTTACTGACAGAAGATTTCTGCTACTGATAAAATATCGCTGCTATACAATTGTTTACTGACAGAAGATCTCTGCTACTGATCGCTATTATAAAAAAAAAAATCGATATCCACCTGCTAGGCGTTTCTGTTCGCCTGGTATCTGGTTTTCAGAATCGACCAATTTGGTTGTCCGAAACATCTCCCACAACCCAAAAATCAAGAACTTCATCTGTTAGTTTTTATAATCTTTAATAATGCGACTTCTAAATAAATAATAATTCTGTTTCTTATGTTAATAATCTTATTATAGTTTATTGTATCTTATTATAGTATATTGAATCGCCGACCTCCTCCTCGAATAATCTGGCCCGAAACTTTGCCATGTCCTTCCGTGTTTCAGCTGCCCTCGTTGATCGATGAATCCTGAAAGAAAGAAAATATTTAATATATTAAAAAAGGTCAAATTCTATTATTCTTATATTATAATTTGTATTATTATAAATAAATTACTTATGTAAGTATATATCTTATTACTATTTTATGTTATTATTACACATTATACTCCAATCATATACTTCAACAGAAAATCTAAAAACCTGTTTCCCTTGTGTGCCTCCTGCTAAGGGCTAATAAAATTGTTAACAATAATAGTGATAAATTTATTTATCCAACAAAACCGAAATTGAAACGAAATCGTTTGGAATTACTGTACTGTACATACGATTTATTTTCCCCTGAGATAGAGACAATTTTTATTTTAAATAACAAAGTTATTTCTAATGATATTATGCCATTTTTTTCATATTCTAAAATGATTTTTGTGTCTTGTTTGGGAAAGAAACGACTTACAGCTGAACAAAGTATAGTGTTAGAAACCAGAGAAGCCTTACAATCTTTTTGATTGAAAGCCATTTTTATGCCATCCTTTAGTTAGTTGATAAAAACCTATTTGGAAATGATTAGTTGACAATTTTGGTAGAAAATCCTATCTTTTTAGTGGTTTTTTGGTTGTAATAGGGCCAAAAAGTGACTTACAGCGGAACCAAACACTGTTTTGAGCACCTTATGACCCCAGTTAACGAGCCCAATCACTTTTTGGACGATTCAAAAAAAATGATTTTTAGCCAATTTTCGCAATTTTCATAAGGGGTAACACTTATGACTTTTTGCGAAAAATGGCAAAATTTCAACTTTTTTGGGTGTTTATACCATCGGATAGGAAATTTTATTGCGAATTCAACGATGTATGCCATTCCACATTTGGAAGAGTACTTCCTTAGATAATGCAAAAAAAATGGGTTTTTTAAAGCAATTTTTTGTAGTTTTGGGCAAAAAAAAAACTTTTTCCATTGGTAATTTGTCTGTTATTTGGGCAAGAAAAAACGTACAGCCAAACAAAGTATAGTTTTGGAAACTAGAAAAGCCCAACTATTCATGCCACCGAATGCAATTTAATTGTTATGGTTAATTGATCCTTTAGTTTGTTCATTAAAACTGATTTGGGAAAGATCAGTTGACAATTTTGGTAGAAAATCCTATCTTTTTAGTGGTTTTTTGGTTGTAATAGGGCCAAAAAGTGACTTACAGCGGAACCAAACACTGTTTTGAGCACCTTATGACCCCAGTTAACGAGCCCAATCACTTTTTGGACGATTCAAAAAAAATGATTTTTGGCCAATTTTCGCAATTTTCATAAGGGGTAACACTTATGACTTTTTGCGAAAAATGGCAAAATTTCAACTTTTTTGGGTGTTTATACCATCGGATAGGAAATTTTATTGCGAATTCAACGATGTATGCCATTCCACATTTGGAAGAGCACTTCCTTAGATAATGCAAAAAAACTGGGTTTTTTTAAGCCATTTTTTGTAGTTTTGGGCAAAAAAAACTTTTTCCATTGGTAATTTGTCTGTTATTTGGGCAAGAAAAAACGTACAGCCAAACAAAGTATAGTTTTGGAAACTAGAAAAGCCCAACTATTCATGCCACCGAATGCAATTTAATTGTTATGGTTAATTGATCCTTTAGTTTGTTCATTAAAACTGATTTGGGAAAGATCAGTTGACAATTTTGGTAGAAAATCCTATCTTTTTAGTGGTTTTTTGGTTGTAATAGGGCCAAAAAGTGACTTACAGCGGAACCAAACACTGTTTTGAGCACCTTATGACCCCAGTTAACGAGCCCAATCACTTTTTGGACGATTCAAAAAAAATGATTTTTGGCCAATTTTCGCAATTTTCATAAGGGGTAACACTTATGACTTTTTGCGAAAAATGGCAAAATTTCAACTTTTTTGGGTGTTTATACCATCGGATAGGAAATTTTATTGCGAATTCAACGATGTATGCCATTCCACATTTGGAAGAGCACTTCCTTAGATAATGCAAAAAAACTGGGTTTTTTTAAGCCATTTTTTGTAGTTTTGGGCAAAAAAAACTTTTTCCATTGGTAATTTGTCTGTTATTTGGGCAAGAAACAACTTACAGCCAAACAAAGTATAGTTTTGGAAACTAGAAAAGCCCAACTATTCATGCCACCGAATGCAATTTAATTGTTATGGTTAATTGATCCTTTAGTTTGTTCATTAAAACTGATTTGGGAAAGATCAGTTGACAATTCCGGTAGAAAACACTATATTTTGAGTGGTTTTTTGGTTGTAATTCCTTTTTTTTTTTTTTTTGCTTTTTTGAGAACGTCTTCGCTGTGGCGGCGACAGTAATAAAGATGCGTTTATATGAATAAAAAAATAATCGTAAAGAAATCTATATTAAAATAAAACTCACAGCTCCAAAACGGGTAGTCTCGGTGTTAAATATCCAATGAGCCTTTCCAAATTCGAGCATATACATTTCGAGCTCATTTTTGAAGCTTGCCAGAAATTCCTAGACCGAAAATCGATAGCCCTAGACAGTACCTCCAAAATGTCCAAGCCAGGTGAAAATGCCAACACCGATCCGGATTGCAAGTCAGATGACAGCAAGCTTCGCAAGCTAAAGTTCGCCGGCTGTTGCCACCTAAAGGACGAGGCCCTGGCGCGTCTCTATAAGATCGATCGCCTCACCGACGAGGAGCTGGCCTCCGTGGGTCTGCAGCGGAGCTGCCTGATCGATGACTACCGTCATCTGCACGAGGTTTCGTTGATGTGGGAGCAGGAGCGGTATCCGGATCGCCCAGCCAAGCCTCAAAGTCCACGGAAACTGCGATCCAGGTTGCCCAGGTTGTGCATCATGGAGGTAAAGCCGGCCAAATTGTACAAGTTTCAGCTGCTCAATCAGTTGGTCAAGGTAATTAGTTTTGAGAAGGAGCCACAGGCAATTTTTCAAGAGCAGCAGTTCGAGTTCGATGCGGATTACCAGGAGGATGAGGACGTTCTTCAGCTGCCGCAGGAGGAGCGCCAGAAGCGCCGCTTCGAGTCCTTTTGCGATCATCTGGACAACATGTTCATCAGCGGTGACCGCAACATGGCCATCGACTTGGTCGTCGATGCACTTATCCGTTTAAATAGACGCCGCAAGCACGTCATTCCGCTGGGACCCATCGTTCCAAGTCGCCCCAAAACGCTTCCCAGCCAGGATTAGTGTTAACAATGGATCTGGACCACCTGGTATCATAACCCATAGCCCACCTCGCACACAACCTCAAAATCATTGCAAGACATATCGTACAGGCAAAATTGGAAAATCTTTTTTGTTATTGTTTATTTCGATTCTCCACAGAAATACACTTCTCTCCAATATATTATATTTTAAACACATTTAAAATTAAATTTCAATTTCCCATTCAAATACGTTTTTCAGTTGCTGCTTTACTTCGATAATCGGTTTCACACCTATTTCGCTTAAGTTCTGAAGCCCTTCGCTTTTTTTCGCATGTACAAATATTGGTATGGTATAAGTTATGTATAGGGGATGGGTTGAGGCCGGGGAGATGGGAACTGGAAATCGGGCGTTACTAATAGGCTTCTCCAGTAGTAGTAGTCGAGTACATATATGTGTATATAGAAGTATGTATACATTTATATAAATTTTGAGCAGTCGTCTAGTACGGGGCACTAGTACCAAAAGTATGATTAGGCTAATAAATGAGAAGCAACAAACTTTCACATAATTTTGGTCTTATTTTTGGTAATTCAGTTTTGAAAGCTGTAGTACTGGTTTCAGTTTGAGACAAACAATTTAAATTGCAATTTAAAAATAAGCCAAGAAAATTCAGGATCTAAATTGGGTTTTGCTTACGTCATTATTGGCCTTAGCCCCCACACTAGACTGCTGTCGGATTTAGAGTTAGCTCCATTCACACGCCTATAAACATCTGGATCTGTTACTATACCCATTCACACTGGCCTAACGTATCAAATAGGTGTTCATAGAGTTCTCCTTAAGCTATCCAATAGACTTAGTCGTATATTTTGTAAATGTATGTATATCTATGATTATAGTTCCCACTGCGCTCTTTGCTGCTCCACCACTGCTTTCACTTTCACTTTTATTGTTATTTTGTATTCCAAACTCAACAAGTGCACTCGAGACGGAAATAATGCAGATTGAAATGTATGCAAATCGAGCGGTTACTCATGTACTATATATCGTAACCGTTGTTAAATTGAACAATACGCTAGCTACGCAAACTCAAAGGCGGAACTAAAACAATTCTAGTTTTGGTCGGTCTGGCCGACGACCAGCTTCCAAACTTCAAGCTCGAAACTCTCTATAAATATTAACGAAAAAGGAGCTTAACTATTTACCGGGGAAACAAAATGTCCGATAACGCCTGTTACTGAATCTTTATGTGTCTTATTTTGTTTTGTTTTTTGTTTTTCGAGTCATAATTTACTATTATATACACATACACACAGCTACAATATATATATTACATAAATACACATATAAGAAACTTTTTTTGTTTTTCTCTTTTAAAGTTATTTTTAATATTTCAGTGTTACTTTTTGTTCCTGACCTAGCATATAATTTAATTTCCATCTTTTCTTTTTTCCCTTAAGTTCTCAATTGTCTAAAATTGTTGCAGTGTACATTGGCTTAGTTTGACTTATTGGTTGTATATAACACTAGTTTACACGAAAGTTGTACCTCTTTAAAAACATTTTCACTGAACTCCTTGAAATAAACCAAAAAACTGAAGGGGTCTTTAGCAAATGCGAAAGGAAAATGGGTTTATAATAAAGATCAAAAGCTTTCTTTCAGAAAGAATATAGATTGCTACTTCAAACTAAGCTGTAATTACCAAAAATTCATTTCAAAAAGAAAATCTTTATAATTATTCCAAAAAATATCTAGTGGCTTGTTTGTGGATAGATAATTAATTCATTGTTCCTTGGGTTCGTATAAATTGTCAGTGTAAAAACCGCCAAAAAGGCTCAAATTGTAAACTAGTGTAATTAAGATTGATTCTCGTTAATGCGTGTGGTACAAATATATATATTTAATATATTCCATATTTCGTACTCTTAACAACTTAGTTAAAATTTCTCTGGCATTAGTTTTTGATTCTGTTTCGGATTTACACGGTTTAGAGCGGTCCAGCAACACTCTGTCCGAGTGAAGCCTGCGGTGATTTTGAGGGTCGGGGTACAGGACTCGGGGTTTCATTGATGTAGAACATATGTCTTCACTTTTTATCGGCATTTTGCTTAACGTTTATTCTCAAAATATACAGCACATTAAATTCCAATTAAAGCAAAACAGTTTCACATATATTTGAAAACATTTCGCAGTGTTTCTTCTGTTGATTTGAACTTAATGAATAGGCATTCCAGATCGGGTTCTTTAATAATTAGCTTTAAATATGTATTTCTTGTTTCGCGTTTAGATAATTTCATTTCTGTATTGTTTCTCTTTAGTTTTCTGACACTTTTTTAGGCTAAACTGTTTCCTGCTCTTATCTAATCGATTTTAAACGGTTAACGGTTTGCATTATCAAAAAAAAATTACTTTAATAGCTGCGCGTATATAATGTGTTTCCCTTAATATAGCAATTTAGTTGCGCTTTTACACTACGAGTTCACTTAACTTTTACTTTGTTTCTCCGTCTACAAATCTTTTCATCCTCTACTTTTTTTTGTTTTTTAAGGTTTTTTGTTTCAATGGTTACGATATCTATGTTTCTTTTACTTTTACCCTCGGAGAGACCTTCTGAGGCTCTCCCAGCTAAACGGCGGCTTTTTTCGTAAGTGCATAATAGTTTTTAGTGATTTTGCTGGTTATTCGGTTCGGTTTAACATACCTTCCTCATGAGGCTTTTTATGGCTAGCCGGAGCTAAGGAGCGGGCCTCAAGTAGTTTACTTTAAATAGTCGTTATCATACACACACATATTAAATATTTCTTGTGGGGCTTCCCTCTTCCTAACACATAAACTCAATTGTCGAGCTGCCTCCTTAACTTCTGGTCTCATATGTACACGACGTTGGCCCTGTCTAAAAACTAGGATTAGTTTTAGTTATATTTTATGCTTTTGCAATAACGCGTCCCCACGAATTCTGGGGCGTTTGAAACAAGGACAAAAAAACGGTTGCGCTTAAAAGTAGTATTAATTAAAGTAGAGTAATAGTAATGGTAATAGTAATAGTAATAGTAATAGTATTAATAAAACGTTGCGTTTTATGAAGCCAGAAGGTTGTAAATTAACAAAAGCAGATCAAAATGCTTGATTAAACATCACTATGCATCGCATCTCTTGGCGAAAAAACGGTTAAATCGCTTCAACTAACTTTAAATAAATATCTACTTAAACTTTGTCCTCTTAACCAGATTACTTGCTCTCGTAAGTTCACTTTCACTTCCTTAGTTATGATTTCCATCTTATTCACAGCTGTACGAACGCGATAGGGTCACGTGATCCCCTCCTGGCGATGGCGCCTACCCGTTAGGCATGTTGGACGCGGACCACGCCTCTACAATCTCGACCTAAATCCAAATAGATCCTATACTCCTATACTCCAGGCACTCGCTCGCATTTACACTTGAAACACACACGCACTCCTGACACCTCGACCATCCTGATCTCAAGGGATCGGGTTCTGTCTCCGTTGAGTTTGAGCTCTACCCTAATCTTCCGCTGCCGCGCTCGACTTGCAAACTTTGATCGATAGCTGGTATTCCATCGATCCCTTACATTCTTTAATTTAATTAGCATAAAAGCGTATTGTTATAGCAATTATTTATAGTGTATGCACGATACCATTGGATGAATAAACGATAACCCAGCACAGAGTAAACAGAAAAAAAAAGTATAAACATCAGAACATGCAAGTCGAACTAAGCTGCTCTTCTGCCTCCAGCCGATCTTGGACGCTCTTGTTGAACTGCTGCCGATGTTGACGACGTGGCTACCGATTGGTGGACTGACTGGTGCTGCTGCTGTTGTCGCCGGTAAAAAAGTTTATGCTGCTGGAGATCTCACTGACTCGACAGCGACTGCTAAGCTGGGTGTTTTCTAGGTCTCCTGCTCCTGCTCGTTATAGTAGGTTACATACTTGCTATTGGCAATGGCATTCCAGGCTGCAAAATAGCAAAATATTAGATAAATTCAAACATTTAAAATGTAAACAGCCTATAACTTGTATTGCACAGACAAATATCTGGAATTCAACTTACTGTTTGCGATATAGTCGACGATCAGTTCCGTGTTGGTCATCATCGCCGGACGCAACGGCGGCTGCGGCAGCTGGGCAACCTCCTCCGCGGAGGTCGTCGTGGCTGCATCCGCCTTGAGGTCAGCCATGAAGCTCAGCTCCTGCAGACTCTCGTCGTCCTCGACGTCGTCGTCGTTGTAGTTAAGGAACACGGGCAGTGCGACTTTCGCCTCCGAATTGGGATTGGGATTGGTATTAGACTTGGTCTTGATCTGCGCCTCCATCGGCTCCTGCTCCTGCGAATTGCTGCGACTGCAGCTGGTGCTCCGGGCAGCGGCGGCGGCACGAGCGGCGGCTATGATGGCCGCCTCGATGTCGTTGCACGTCTCCAGCTGCTGCATCGAAATGGATGTGGCACTGGGCAGCGTCTCCTCGCTGCTGCTGGCCTTGCTTAGGAAGTTGTTGACCTGCTCCTTGATGGACGTATTCGCGGCGGCATAAATGCCGCTATCGCCCGACTGATTGGCCACTCCGCCGAGCATCCCGGCCAGGCAGGCGGCGGCATTGCTGTTGCTGTTGCCGCCCGAAGAGGACGATATCGACACCGAGGACGACGAGGTGGAGGTGCTCGCCGAGTCGGACGAGGAGCCCGAGGGCGTGGACGAGTTGATGAGACTGGCGGCGCTCGACGAGGAGGCAGTTGCCCCGGCATTTGACGGCGACGACTGTGCCGCTTCAGCGGAAATCGATAGCATGTCCAGGCTGGCCGAGCTGTTCACTGCATCCGAAGCGGCCCCAGAATCATTGAGCTGCTGATCGCTGCTTGAGCTCACATCCTGCGGTTGCTCTTGTCTCTTTTCTGCAGCTTGTCGCCTATCCAGGACTTTCGTCTCCTTATCGAGTTCCTGGTGCGGTTCTTCGCTCTCGTCTTCCGCCTCTGTCTGCTGCTCCTTGTTCGTCGCCTGCGTGGCTTGGGACTGGGCCTGCTCCTGCTCCTCGTCCTCCAGGTTGTCGTCGAAGAGCTTCAGCTCATCCTCGTTGAAGTCGCCGAAAATGAACTCGTTGTTGCTCCTGCCCGCCTCGCGGTCATCGTTGAGTATAATCACGGCCCGCCGGCCGGCGGTGGCCTCCAAAACGGTGGCCGCTCCCTTGGCCGTGCCGCAACTGCTGCTGGGCAGCTTGTGGATGCCGCTGGTCGACTTCTTGGCTCCCTCCGTCTGCGTCGCAGTCGTTGACTTCTGCGTGGTAGTGGTGCTAGTGCTGGCGGTCGCCTTGGGCGTGGTGGACAGACTGACTGGTGGCTCCTCTTGACTAGGCTTCGCTGTCTTCTTACTGATGGCGCTGCTGCTGGGAGATATCTCCTTGGGCTTGGTCTTGGCCTTGGCCGACGACAAAAATGCCACCGCAGGAACTGCAGTCGCAGCAGATGGCACTTGAGTCGCGGCTTGAGCTTGAGCTGAGGATACAAATGACGAGGAGGACGAACCAGGAACAGTGGCTGCAGCTGGAGCTGCCGCTGGAGCTGCGACTGCCGCTGCGGTTGAGGTAGTTGTTGCAGCTGCTGCTGCTGCTGCTGTTGATGGCGGCGATGTGGCCGAGCTTCCCTTCTCCGCCAGCTGCTGCTTGGCGGCTGCTGCAAAGTTGTACAACGAGGCGGAGGAGGCGGCCGCGACGGCCACGGACACGTTGCTCGTGCTGTGCCGCTTGACGGTCTTCTCCAGCGCCGGATACTGCTGGTCCAGATTGCTGCTGTTGCAGCTGTAGCTGGCATCGTGCTCCACGCTCTTCGACTTCTGCAGGGCCGGCGGCGAGGAGGAGGACGTGGAAGAAGTGATGCTGCCGGCCGAGCTGCTGGCACTGCTACTCGTGGCCGCCGTCATGGTCGACGGGGCCAGGCTACCGCCTGCGGTCGCCACATTCACATGAACATGCGATTGCGACTGCGATTGCAATTGCTGCATCTCCGGCGAGTTGGTGGACTCCGCGTCGCTGCTGCTGCTGGCGGGCGTGGCGTTCAGACTCTGCGAGTAGCTGATCGAACTGGACGAGGACGGCGCCGTATTTTGGCTGTTGACCACGGCTGTGGCCGACGGAGTGGCGGAGTGGCTACCGCAGGCAGCTCCGGACGGCGTGGCAGCACCTGGCAGCTCCGGGAAGTCGGGCCGCGACTTGTACTTGCTGCCACCCTTGCCCTGGAACTTGTCGCCGAGCTCCAACTCGGTGTCGCTGGCGGTGGCATTGTTCAGGGCCTCCTGCTTGTTGCGGGCAATGTCCGCATACGAAATGGGAGCCGGCGAATTGTTGTTCTGCTTGTTCGCCTGGCGGTGACTGGCGGCCTGAGCCGCCCGCTGCTTGTTGTTCCCGCCGCCCAGGCTCTTCTTCTTGCCGGTCTGAATGGGCAGCGAGTGCACCGAGTCGAGATCACTGGAGTCCGACTTCTCCGAGGGCGGCATCGACGACGTGGACTTGCGCCGTGAGCTGTCCACCTGGTTGGCCGACGCCGAGCCGCCGTGATGGTGATGATGGTGGTGGTGATGGTGGTGATGGTGCTGCTGCCCCTGTTGTTGCGCTTGGTAGTGCTCCTGGTATTGTTGCTGCTGATGTTGCTTGTAGCTGCCACTGCCACTGCCTCCTCCTCCGTTGTTATTGTTATTGTTGTTGTTGTACGGGGTGTAGTAGTGCATCCGCTGCGACATCATGCTGGAGGAGGCCGACTTGGTGATCTGTTGCATGCGCTGGAGATTGCCGCCTGTGCTGGCGGCCGCCGCCACCGCTGCATCATCCATGGTGACGGCCCGCTGCTTCTTTGGTTTCTTCTTCTTGGTCACAACGTGGAATTCGGCGGTCTCCGACAGCACGGTATTCAGGGCATCCAGCTCGGACATGCGAGCCAGCGCCGGCAACGCCAGCGGCAGCTGCCTCTGGCCCAGAGTCTCCGGCTCCGACCAAGCGGCGGACATCTCCTGGTGGTCGCCGAGGTACTGCAACTCCTCGGTGCCCCACGATCGCCGCTCGCCCTTCCGCTGCTGCGTTCCCGCATTGTTGCTGCTGCGCACTTGCACCGTCGACTGCTGATGTTGCTGCTGCTGCTGCTGCTGCTGTTGCTGTTGCTCCTTGCCGCAGTTTTTGCTGATGTCCGCAACGGAGGCCGAGTTGTGCTTGCCGCTGCCCGCGGAGCCAGACGCCGAGGAGGATGTTGTGCCCGAGGGCGCATTGTTTGTGCCCTTCTTCTGGCGCATCATCTCCGTGGTCGCCGACTGGCGCTTCAGGTCGTCCACCTCCATTTTCGAGCAGCTGCGCAGCTCCTCCAGCGAGTTGCTTTTCTTGAGCTTGTTCTGCTTCTTGCGCTCCTTCTTGCGTTGGCCCGCCGCGCTGTTGCCACCGCCTCCGCCGCCGTTCACGTCGTTCTCGATGTACTTGACCAGCTGTTCGACGGGATCGTTGCCGCGATAACCGGCCACCGACTCCACATCCACGGTGGTGGTGTTGCGCTCCTGCTGCGACTTCTTCTTGGCCTTCTGCTTGGTGGGCTGCTGCTGCTGCAGGCCGATGCCGATCCCGGGCCCGGATCCCACGGCCCCGCCTCCCGGAGCCTGCTGCAGCTGGCTGTAGGACGCAGCCACCGCTGCCGCCGCCATCGCAGTGGTCGTGGTGTTGGTGCCCGTGGAGAGCAGCGTGGAAACGCTGTTCTGGCGGTGGGCAGCCGACGAGGTGGGTGCACTGGCGCCCACCGTGGTCGTTATTAAGGCCGTGAACTGGTTGCCATTGCCATTGGCATTGCCGTTGCCGTTGCCGTTGCCATTGCTGCCGTTGCTGCTGGTGGTGGACACTCCGCTGGCGCCATTGCCACCGTAGCCGTCGCTCAGCGCGTTTCCATTCTCGTCTAGCTGACGCTAAAATATAAGAGAAGAAAGGGTCATAAATTATATATTAGATTGCTATGAGAAGTATCAGCTGCAAGCGCTCCTAAGGAACTGAATTCTTGTTCTCCGAGAGACAACCGCTGGTTTCTGAGTTTAGGACTCACTTTGTGACAGATTTTACAAAAATGACTGTAACCTAATTATACTCGCAAGTAGCTTATCAAATTACAAGCTATTGCTATTGATATTATGGTTCTTAACGGAAACTCAAGGCAGGTAAGCCACTGTAACCTAATTATAAGAACCAAAAATCGAAGGTTACCCCGAACTCGAACTCGAGACTTACCGCAGTGGCCTTGCCACCCATCGACGCAGCCGCTGCCGAAGTTGAGGTAGGAACCATCCGTCCAATCTTCGCGGGACGCAGATCGCCGGCGAGGGTGTCGGAAGAGGCGCCGCTGTTGCTGGCGCCCGAGGACGAGGCCGAGGAGGTCGAGGGCTTGCCGCCCTCGATGGCAGCCGGCGAACCAGCGCCGCCGCCGTAAACTGAGGAGCAGGCCGTGTAGTTGTCGTTGAGCGACACATAGCCGGCCTCCACCTTGCGCTTCTGCTCCTCCAATCCGAACCCGAACTGTCCAGTGAGGGCGGCCAGGTAGTGCGCCTGCAGCTGCAACTTGTTCTTTGCCTCCTCCAAAACGGAGAAGTGGAGCGGGTCGTCGATAAGGAACTCTTTGGCGGCACCGGCTTCTTTCGCCTCGGCCGGCGGCTTCTGCTGGCCGCTGAGGGAGTCGAGCAGGAACTTCATCGAGGCATTCTGCGGCTCCAATTGCTGCAGGGAGAATTAGGTTATAGATTTAGTGTTACTTATAGAGTATTCGCAAATTCCTTAGTTTGGAGTTAGAACAAAGAGATTTCAATTGAGGATGGGAGATTCTAACGTTAGTCACTTAAGCCAAAATCCAAACCAATAGCACTGAACACGCATTTTAGCGAAAGAGGTACATACTATATATTGAATAAATGAATTATTTATATTTCTCGACTCACAAATGTGCAGATATTTGAATAATTGTGCTACTTCAGCGCTATTATTTTGAACGCAGCTAAGAATAAATTACATTCTGGTAATTTCACACCCAAACTTTTAATTCTACTAATTTTGCTACTAGACTTCGTGTTGCTATGCAAAAGATCGTGGAAGGTGATTTTGTTGTAAACACATAACTTGATTAGGCAACAGAGCCACACCGAGGGTAGTATTGATTTGGGACTGTTACGGATTAGGAGTACTGACGATAAAGAGGGATTATGTTGTGCGTCGCGCGTAACCCGGTCAATGCGCCTCTTACCGACTGATCGGCCTCATCGGCCTCATCTGCCTTAACGAGCGCCCTGGCAATCTCCCAGAGTCTGCCATCCAACCTGACGTCCCACCGCTTAAGCGTATCATCGCTTACCTCCAACAGGTAGTCATGTTGGACGCCGCTTATGCCGGCGCCCGTCGCCTCATCCTCGTCCATGTCAAACGGGATGCCCGCCTCGGGATCGCGTTCACCCAGATGGCTGGGCAGGCTGCTGCAGCTGCCGGTGCTGCTTCGATTATGGCTTTTGTTGGCCGAACCACCGGCAGTGTCGGATGAGACTGCTGGCTGCTTGTGCTGCTTGGCATCCATGGCAGCTGACGGCTCAAAGTTAACGCTGCTGGGCAGGCTGCCTCCTTCGCGCTGCCGGCCCGAGACGGATGAGTTCTTGATCTTCTTGGATGCGGAGGAGGTGGCGTTTTGGTTGTGCTGCTGATGCTGCTGCTGCTGCTGCTGGCGGCGATTCGAGCGGCCACTCAGCTGGTAATCACAGTTGAAACGTTGGGTTGCTGCCGTTGTTGCCGCCGTCGCTGCAGCCGCCGCCGCGGATGTGGTGGCCAGCTCGCTGCGGTGCGCTGCCTCGACGAGATCCTGCAGGGAGCCCCCTTGCTTGTGCCGCTGGGTGTGGTCCGTCGACCGGTGGTTGCTGGAGTGGTAGCCGCTGCTGTTGTGCCCCGCACTGCTGCTGCTCCCGCCGCTCGAGCCCGCTGCTGCCGCCGTGCACGCTAATGCGGATGGGGTGAGTGCGAGGCAGGATTTGATGGCACGATAAGAGATCTCTTCGTCGTACTCAGCCTTTTTTAACATTTGCTATGGGAAAGAAGAGTGGATCGATTTGTTTAATTCATGTATGGATGTATAATTGATCATTTTATAGGTCCCATTTAGTTTACACATGGCTGAACTACATTTACGGAAACTCACCAGAAATCGCTCGCTCTTGTTCTTCCTGTCGCCAGGGTTCCGATACCAATAGGCCTCCTCGAGAAGTTTCTTTAATGATGCGTCGTCGAGATCATTAAAATCGCTATCCTCCCAGGTATCGTATTTTGTCTGCAAACGAAAAAATGTATGTTTTATTTAGTTTAACTATTTTCCCGAGTGTACCAATACACACAAAAAATATTGTTTGAACTTAACCTCAAAGGAGTCCAAAGAAGAACTCTATCAAAAAACACATGACCTTTCGGGTTACTTTGCACACTGCTTAAGGGTTTGGCTGTTTTCAATATCATACGGTTCGAATAAATAGCGATATGGTGTTGCACACGAAAAATATTTAATTAAAAAAGGGGAAAAGTAAGGAGTTTATTTGTGTGGTTAGCGGTTTTCGCCAATGTTATTGTTAGATAAAGCAAAACTCTTTGTGGTTTTTTGCCTTTTTTGATTTCGCGATCCGGGATCTGAATTCTAGTAGTTATCGTAGCCGCGGTCCAAAAAGAATTCCAACTGCAAAGTGTGGAAATTTTTAATGGAGTTGAAGTTCTCTTGATTATTTTCGGTTTTTCTCCTTTTCGCCGCTTGCACAAGTGTGCATGTGCGTGGGTAAGTGCAATTGCGCTTGTGTGATCATTTGATCTTACTTTGGGTAACGGGTAACGGTAAATAAATAAAGCTGCGAAAAGGGAGATGACAGTAGGTGTAAGCTTTCGCCAGCATTAGCTATTTCTTTTCAATCAAAGCTTTAGCTTAAAGTTTGCGAATTATACTTTTGCATAATCTTTGTAGGCACCGCCAAAGTTTAAATTCAAACAGTCAGTTTATATTAAGCAATCACTTTGTACTTTCCAATAGGTAATGTTTTCTGATCTCCCATTATAATGTAAAGTTATCAAAAAGGTTTCTATTAGGCCAACAAATTTGTGTCCTATAAATCCTTAGATAACATTGTCTATTCGGTTTTTCAAAACTAAAAGCATATTTTCGTAATCTAATGAGAAATCAAAAATATTGCACATTTCCATACTCTAGTTCATTTTTCATTCAGTGTGTTTTTCTTTGTTATATTCATATGTAATTGCAAACAAATTGATCAGCTACAAATACATTTACTTATTTAAGTTTATAGTTTATGGTTTAGTTGAAAGCGTGTGCAAATGTGTGTAAGTATGTGTTCAGAAACTATTTTTGCAAAGAAACAAGTGTCGATATTTATAGAATGTTTATCCAATTTTATTGATATGTAATTTAACATTTTTAAACCAAGATGTGACGTCGAAATAGAAATGAACAATCAAATAAATAAATGGTTGGTTGTGGTTTTTTGCTAATTATTTCTCTTTAATTGCAAAGAAAATACATATACGAATATGTAAATATTTAATTCATATGGTTTGATTTCTTCTTAAAGCAAGTAACTAAGCTGCACTTACCTTTTTCTTTTTCTGTCGCTTGCCGACATTCTGATCGTCCTGGGTCTTACCCTTGGCAGTGGCCCCGTACTGGAGGACTCTACGATTTGGTCGCGACAGTTCCGTGTTGGGCGTATCCCCTAGCATAGCGAAGACCTGCGAAAAGGATGAGTCTCCATCTGCTTCTGCTTTTGGCGCTGCTGAATCCTTAGCAGCTTCTGGCGCTGAAGCGTGGCTAGCAGTGCTACAGCTATTACTAGGTGACGATGACTTTTTGACCTCGCTGCCTCTGATACCGACTACATGGTTGGTAGATTCGGCCGAGAACGCCTGGCTTTCGCCTCTTATCTCGTCAATCGTAGCTTTCATGAACGCCACCATACTATCGAACTGCTCCTGCAGAACGGGCGTCGGCGTCGTTTTGGTGGCCGTGGTCGTGGTGGTGCTCTCGCTCATCGTGCCAGCGGCAATCGAAACGATAGGCGTGTCCGGTATGATCGTGGGCAGCTTGCCAGCTGCTCCAGCTGACCCACCGGAACCCACACGCTCCGCCGATGTGTCCGATGTTGACGGCGTTTGTTCATTGTTCATCTTTTTTTGTTTGGTAGCATGCAACTAGCGAAACAAACAAATGCCATTCGAATTTGTCGAATCTGTTTGGGGTATGAATGGAGGTTTTTACCGAATACTTTATTACGGATACTTTTACGATACTCACAAGCTGTTGCTCTGATTGCTCCTTACTCTGGGCTTCCAAGGAAGGTCAGTAGCCCGGCCGTCGTATGGCCACCACCGCGGCTACTAGCGCTCTGCCGCTAGATTCTCTTGGCTGCGGACCCAGGACCCTCCAATTTCAAATGGAATTCTATGTTGGGGGCGCCCACCTATTGCGTATCACTCGGGACTCCTGCTGCACTTGACAGGCCTGTCGTCAGTGGCTCCTCCTCCCCGAATCTCTGCCCGTGGCATTTACGTAGGTCCTAGGCGGAAATCCTCAAAAGTCCTGCGGGGATTGTACGCCTGCTCAGCAACCAGGAATCGCCATGAGTACGAAATACGGATATGTTTGCGCACGGATCTGCAATCGAGTGGCGAATTTTGGGGGTGATTTTTGTTGTTCTGGTTATGTGGACAAGTGGGCGGATTGGCTATGGGTAGAGGTGGCTATGTCCATTCGCTTTTTTTGTCTTTTTTTCAGCCATGTCTTTAAATTTTGTAAAAAAAAAAAAAAACTGAGGTTTTTTCTTATATTCCTCCTTTTTTGCCTACCGAACCGCGCAGTGTTGCCAACTGCGCTGACATTAAAGGGTTGACATTCATGTCCGTTGCAAACAGATTTCATTAAGACAACTTTTGAAACTAAGAATATCGGGTAGTCTTGTCCATTTAAAATTAACAATCGCTCTAAACTCGCAAAAACCTTTAACTTCTTTATCACATTCTTTAAAAATACTGTCGTTATTAAATGCTACCGGCGAGTTGGCAACCCTGCGGCTGTTGTCAGTGGCAACACTACTGCAAAACACGTCATTTTACCATAGTTTTTTCACCAATTTTCCAATTGTTTCGTCAATTTCTTGAAATGTTGACCATTCCTGTCCATACTTATATACGCATTTACCCAGTAACTGGCGTTTTCTGACGGTTACAGTGGTTATTTATTGATAAATAAGCCAGTCGATGACAGCTGTATAACTTTCTGCGCACTCACACGCACGCACGAACACACACACGGCCGCAGATATGCGCCTGTGTACATTTTTCTGACCTTCTCGGCGTTTTTTCTTTTTGCTTTGGTTTTTGACAATCGAAAAGAACAAAACACACTGCCGCGCACTAAAACTCAGAATTAATAGGCTGCCCAAACTAACAACTGCGCTCTCATTATCTTACAGCTGCCTGTAAGCGGGCGAAATTGTTTAATTGCACAGTAGGCACATGAGAAAAAATTCCGAACCGAAGAGAACACTTTGGATTTGTTGTTGTGTTTTGCAGCACTTGGGAGTAGGCAGCGCTGCGCAGCACTGGTCATCGATATTTTTAAACTGCTGATGTCACTGCCCATCGATAGGTCGATAGTTAACCAAAAGTTCCATCTCTAGCTGCGTGCTCTTTATTTTCGAGGTAGAGCGAAAAAAATATAAACAAATGAAAATTAACCACAAATATGAATTTGACGACGATGTGGCCTCGATTTGCGAGTCAACGGTGCGTTGAAAATGGTCTTTATGATGTCTAGGGTGTGTGATTTATTGTATTTTGAGTTTTTCAGGCCGCCCTCACCGAAGGATGTCGTCTTCCCGTCAGGATGCATAAAACGGACGACTGGCCGCTGGCGGAGATTGTCAGCATCAAGGAGCTGGATGGACGACGCCAGTTCTACGTGCACTATGTAGACTGTAAGTATAGACAACTTAAAAACTGGCATATCCCATTATTTATACTAAATACACAGTTAACAAGCGCCTGGATGAGTGGGTTAACGAGGAGGATTTGTACACACGAAAAGTGCAATTTCCACGACGAGATGGCTCCCAAACAGGCACCAGTACCGGTGTGACCACTCCGCAGCGTCACCATTCGCTGGCAGGCAGCGTTTCCAGACCCACATCACCACAGCACTCTGGTTCCGGCAGCCTGACAGCCATCCAATCGACCCCCAGTGGCCCAACAAGCAGTGCGCCTCCTCCCGCGGGTTTGCCCGGCTTAGTGGCTCCTCCCGGGACGCCAAGCAGTGCCGGGGAGCTCGTAAATGGCAACAACCTAGCAGCCGCACTTCAAAAACGCATCAATCGCAAGCGGAAAGTGCACGGAGGGTCGGCCCATGGGCACCACAGCCTGCAAGTGCCACAGCAGCAGTCACATACCCATCCTGCCACGCCACAAACGCCCTCGGCGACGCCTGTGCACGTGACCGGTGACGGTTTGATAAGCGGGGCGGCTAACGAGGATGGAGATGGATCACAGGACGGCAAGACGCCCACTCCAAGGCAGTCCGGCAGTATGGTTACGCACCAGGACGATGTTGTGACGCGCATGAAGAACGTGGAGATGATCGAGCTGGGGCGACATCGCATTAAACCCTGGTATTTCTCACCCTATCCGCAGGAACTCTGCCAGATGCCCTGCATCTACATTTGTGAATTCTGCCTGAAGTACAGGAAAAGCAGGAAGTGCCTGGAGAGGCACCTGTCCAAATGCAATCTAAGGCACCCGCCAGGGAACGAGATCTACCGCAAGCACACAATTTCCTTTTTTGAAATCGATGGACGAAAGAACAAGGTTTATGCGCAGAACCTCTGCCTGCTGGCTAAACTTTTTCTGGACCACAAAACACTCTATTATGACACGGACCCGTTCCTGTTCTACGTTATGACCGAGTTCGACTCGCGCGGTTTTCACATTGTGGGCTACTTCTCAAAGGAGAAGGAAAGCACAGAGGATTACAACGTGGCCTGCATTCTTACAATGCCTCCGTATCAGCGAAAGGGATACGGCAAGCTGCTTATCGAGTTCAGCTATGAACTGTCCAAGTTCGAAGGGAAGACGGGCTCGCCGGAGAAGCCCTTATCGGATCTGGGCCTTCTGTCCTACCGATCATACTGGGCGCAAACCATATTGGAGATTTTCATTAGCCAGAACCCGAGCACAGATGGCGAGAAGCCCACCATTACAATAAAGTTTGTCTTTTCTTTACTACTTTGTGTTCTGTTTAACAAATAATTCTAACTGTTTATTTTCGTTTCCAGCGACATCTGCGAATGCACTTCGATCAAGAAGGAGGACGTGATCTCCACGCTGCAAAATCTGAACCTGATCAATTACTACAAGGGCCAGTACATCGTGTGTATCAACCGGGACACCATCGAGCAACATCGGCGAGCGATGGACAAGCGCAAGATCCGCATCGACTCCAAGTGCCTCCACTGGACGGCCAAGGACTGGTCCAAGCGCTCAAAGTGGTAATTTCATTCTCAGCCCTTATTATTATTAATTAATTTAAGGAGCCTTTAATTCTATTATAGATTGCCTTTTTATTGATTCTCATTGGATGGAACTGGAATGCTTGTAAATCGAAGTTTTTCAGCCGCAATAATTGGCTTTTATTGTTATAAATAAACTAGTTTATATCGCGAATATAAATATGCTTTGAATCCACCGAATCCACCACTAGTTTGATTTTTCCCCCGGAGGCAGTAGGTCCTCGATGAGGTGATCCATGCCCTGCATTATGCCGATCTCTAAACCATTCTCCAACGCATCGACGGCGGTTCGCAGACCCTTCAGAGCTTCCTGATTTTGGGCAAACTCGCGCTGCTGGCGGCTTAAGTCTAAGCGGGGCTTGTGAGCAGTTTTTAACTGCTCCAGGCACAGTTCCATTTCCTTAGAAGCCACACTGGCCGGAGGCAGATATCTAGAGAGTTTCGATCGCAGACTTTCGATGTCATTCTCCGCCCGGGCGACATGATCCACATCGGAGTTTACGCGTTGACCGTCCACCGCCTTTTGAAGGGCGGCACACTTTAGTAGCCTGGTCAGCCTTGCGAATTCCCGATTATATTCGCACTTGGCGTCCAGCCAGAGACGCGCTTGTTCTTCCACCTGACGCTTAATATGGCGGTTGTCCTCCTGGAAACGGCGCATCGCCTCCAAGTGGAGCAGATACTGAATGTCATCCATTTCGCCCTCGACCAAAGCTGCTGGCGGGGTTGACAAAGTGGGCGTGGGCGGAGTCTCCATTTTGGTTTCAATTTAATTTAAAAGTTAATATACAAAGCGAGGGAAATTCAGATTCGATTGACTCTTGTTATCGACAATGCTGTCTGGCTTTAGTCAACAAATCGATCTGTTTTTCGTTGTAGAAATGACAACTAAAATTTTAAATTTGTAGGTATGAAACTTATTTTGAGGGAAAGAAACACTTAAGAAAACACCTAGCTCATTGAAATAAAATTATTTTTGTTCGATTTATAGAGGTTTTATCGCTAAAAAATTGGACAATTTTAAAATAAAATACTGAAAGGGATAGCCCTATCAAAACTTTCAAAAAGTATAGCGAATTAGTTCTTGTGTAATTTAAAAAAGTTGGTATACAACATTTTTCAGGGCCAAAAGACATTTAGGAAAATGTCTTTTTCGTTGAAATAAAATGACGATTGATCATTTTGTAGAGGTCTTAACCCAAAAAAGTGACGGACAAAAACTTAAAGGGGTACCCCTTACAAAGTTTACTTTTCATAATGGATTCTTTTACCGAACCAACGGTCTGGCAAATCGGCGGTCAGAGTTGCCAGACAGGCGGCGAGCACGTTTTATTTACAAATTTTGTATTTCTTATAATATTGACCTAAGCACCATATTAAATATATTTAATATTTGTCTTAAAAATAAAAAAAATGGGGCGAAACAAGAAACAAAATCCGTTTGCAGCTCGAAAACGCCAAAAGCGAGAAAACGTAAGTGACTCATAAAACAAGTTTAAAAAGGAACTCCACGTTTTGGGAATTTTTTATTGCAAACTTACCAATCAACAGGGTCCTGAGCGTCCAGATCGTAGAGCGCTGCCCTACGAGGAGATCAAGAGGGATAATGCCTTCTTCATCAAGTACTACCACCTGCAGAAGATCTGCGCCAGCGAGGAGGAGTGGTCGCAGTTCCTTGAATCTATTAGGGACAACCTGCCCACCACTTTTCGGGTGACCGGCTTCAAGGACGAGGCGAAGGCGCTGCTTTCTATTATAGAAACTCAGCTCTTCACGGAATATGTAAGGGCGGTGGCCGAGCTGCACCAGAAGGCGCCGGAGGATGTGGAGCGTCCGCTGTGCCTCCCTTGGTATCCGAATGGTCTGGCCTATCAGCTTCACCTCACACGCAAGGACATCCGTCGATCGGAGCCTCTCTACCGGCTTCACAACTTCCTTATTGTGGAGACCACAGCGGGCGGAATCAGTCGGCAGGAGGCCGTCTCTATGATTCCACCTATCGTCCTGGATGTTCAACCTACTGACAAAGTTTTGGACATGTGTGCTGCTCCGGGTTCCAAGACAGCTCAGCTTATCGAAGCCCTCCATGCCTGCCCCGAGAAATATAAAATTCCACCTGGCTTTGTCCTTGCCAACGATGTGGACAACAATCGCTGCTACATGTTGGTCCACCAGGCCAAGCGTTTGAACTCGCCTTGCCTGCTGGTGACTAACCACGACAGCAGTGTCTTCCCCAACCTGCTCACCAGCCAGGAGGATGGGTCGAAGGGCATCCTCAAGTTCGACAAGATCCTGTGCGATGTTCCCTGCTCCGGTGACGGTACGTTGCGAAAGAACCCAGACATTTGGCTCAAGTGGAATTTGGCACAGGCGTACAATCTGCACGGCATTCAGTATAGGATCGTTAGACGTGGCGCCGAAATGTTGGAGGTGGGCGGTCGCCTGGTTTACTCCACGTGCTCACTGAATCCCATCGAGAACGAGGCGGTGCTGCAGCGCATTCTCAAGGAGGCAGATGGTGCCCTTGAACTGGTGGACGCGGGTCACCTGGTGCCGGGGCTCAAGTACAAGCCAGGCATGACCGACTGGAAGCTGGCCACCAAGGAGGTGGATCAAATCTTCACTAGTTTCGACGAGGTGCCCGAGAGCCTTCACACCATCATTCGGCCTGGCATGTTCCCGCTTCCAGCTGAGGAAATGGCCAAGATCGGACTGGAGAAGTGTCTCAGAGTGCTACCTCATCTGCAGGACAGCGGCGGCTTCTTCGTGGCGGTCTTGGAGAAGCGACGCCAGCTAAGCTTCGAGAAGAACGATGTGGTGGAGCTGGTGGCGCAGAACGAGAAGGCCAAGCAGCCGGCGGATGAGCCGAAGCTCGACGAAGAGGGCAAGCCTATTGAGGAGAAGTCCGTTCCGTGGGGACCGCAGCGTAAGAAGCGACGGCTGCACGGTTACAAAGAAGATCCTTATGTGTTTTTCGGTGAAAATGATCCCGATTACGTGGCCATCAAGGAGTTCTACCAGCTGGACGAATCCCTCAACCAGCGGTGCCTCCTTACGCGCTGCATCACCGACAAAAAGAAGAACATCTACTACTGCTCGGACCCCATCAGGGATTTGGTGCTCAACAATGAGCACAACATCAAGATCATTAACACGGGCGTCAAAACTTTCGTGCGCTGCGAGAACCGACACACGGTGCACCCGTTCCGTTTGGCGCAGGAGGGCCTGCAGACCTCGAACGCTTTCATGGGGGCCAACAGGCGAATCGAGGTGGAGCGGGAGGATCTTGTGATGATGCTCAACTGCACCGATCCCACGCAGCCGCCGTCGACGCACGAGCTGAAGAAGGAAACCCAGGAGCGCTGCAAGGAGTTGGGTAGGCTCTGAAGATCCTTAGCCAATGATTCGTGGTTCCTATTCGTTTCAACTCTCTTTTCTTTGTAGGAGTGGGCAGCTGCATTCTCAAGTACGTGGATCCGCGGTTCACTTTGTACACTGTGGGCTGGCGTGGAACCTCAAGCCTGCGGGCCTATGTCCACAAGGACGAGACCATTCACATCCTGCGGCTGCTGGGCGCCGACCTCAGCAAGTTCGAAACGAACAAGTACGAGGATGCGAGAATCGCGGCCGCCGCAGCAGATGCAGCTGCTGCAGAAGCCAACAAAGAAGTTGAGGCAGGTGCTGATGAGTTGGAATCCACTGACGATACTGTTGCTGACGTTCCTGTTAACCCCGAAGAAGAGTCCACCAAGAGCTAGTGCTTGTCAGTAAATGTAGCATTTAAGCGGACCAATTCCACCTGTAAAGTGGCCTGTATAATCATTACGAATCAGAAGTATATAATCCATTAAAGTGGAAGATGCAAAGTTGAATTTTGGTTTTTATTTATAATCAATAAATCACTGATTAAAACTTGCCCAATCCAAGCAAAAGTCACAGCGTTTTTAGTACGTTTTTGTTATAAAATGTTACATTTATGTTTTTATTTTTTCCAGTATAAATATATCGTATGTAAAGTATATAAAAAAAAGTTCATTAAAAAATTACACATACTCTTTATATAGATGGTGTTCTACCGTATTCCTTTTTGTTTTTCTGTTTTATACGCTTCATACGTTGTTTCGTGTCTTTTAAAAAGTATTTTTCATATATTTGCCGTCTTTTTTTGTGTAAGTGTAAATGTTCTGAGTGAGTTGGCTGTCGTATTGCTTTGTATCTGCGTTTTTCCTTTCCTCTGATGATGTGTGTTTTGGAAACATTTATGCACAAATATATATGGGATAGACGAATGTTTATTTTATGTTAATTACGCTGTAGGAATGAGACTGATTCTCTCGCTTGTTAATACAAAAATATATATATAAAAAATAAAAGAAAAAAAAAAACAACCGAAATATGATTATGGTAAAATACTTTTGCAATCACGTGCATGCGCAGCGGTTTCGATTTACTTGGTAGCATTGGGAAAATGAGAGAGGGATAGCTTTTATAGGTATAAAGAGTTGAGATGCGGCGAGACGAAAAAGAGACGGGGTGACTGAAGATCGGATCTGGGATCTCAGATCGCAGATCTTGTATCTCGGCTGTGGAGTCTCGAGTCTCGGATCGAATTGGACCAGATGAGAGCCCCGTTTTAAGCCTGCTTCTCGGCCTCAATAACCTCCTTGGTGGGCAGCACGTTCTTCTCGTTGGTCTCGGTGTGCTTCAACTTTTTCGCATCAAAGTTCTCAATGCCGGCAATGAACTGATTCTTCTCCTTCTCCTGCTCGATGGCTGCAATTTGAGTTGAGAAATAACAACACAATTATAGAGTGTACACTGTACTGTCCATCTAAGGCAGCCTGTCTGCCATTGGCTTTTATGGCCACGCTAAACACTGCACATAGAGTATGTAAGTGTGTATACTAGATGGCCTACAACGCACCTTCCTTATCGGGCAACGGGTTCTTCTCGTTGGTCTCCGTGTGCTTTAAGTTGTTCTGATTGAAAGCGGTGATGCCCTCGAAGATCGACTGTTGGGTCTTCTCAGCAGCCACATCTGTTTTTGGGCAAGGATTACGTTACAAAATATAGTTTTACTTAAGTTTCAGCTGCATCGACTGGCTATTCACCTTCAGCGGTGGGAAGAATGATCTTCTCCTGGGTGCTGGCATTCTTCAGTTTTTCCTGGTTAAAACCTTCCAACTGGCTCTTCAGATTCTCGGCCACCTTGGGCAGATCCTTGAGTGCTGGTGCTGGAGCGGCCATCTTAAAATGGGTGTTTATCATTGTTTAAAACAAAATTACAATTTTAGGTCACAGTCCTACTACCAAAATTTTGAAACCAATTTTTAGTTATCAAATATCAAAAGATTGAAAAGAAATGAAAAGGCTATAAAAACTATCATAGTATTTTTCCTTTAGATAACAAAACTATAGGTATACTTTTGGCAAGGTGTTAAAAACCTTCTTGTCTAGAAAGTAGAACCCGTAACAAATACATTTAACCAGAATTCTTTTTAAGAACCAAAAACCGATTTCTGATAAGTAGGACTTCTAAAAATTAGATAGCAAAAGCTTACATGTTGCTTATCTTTCCACAACGATATGAACTGAAATAAGCGTCACAATATTTTTGAGAATGTGCAAATTGTTTATTTAAATTCGATTGTGCGATCAACGAATTTCTCAAATTCTAAAAAAAAATCCAGTTTCCGAAAAGGCGGTTCCAATTGGAGCCAGGCCGGAAGAGGATATCGATGTTGTCGATGCGTAAGAGGAAACCGACACACCGATAGAAGATCTGTTGTTGTTCTTTATTGTTTGCTTTTGTTGATATTAATGTTGCGTCTTAATAAATAATTCATTTTCGTTGGAAACTAATCGCATTATCGATTTGTTGACGGTTGGTTTAATTTTATGTTAGCTGTAAGATTTCCCAAGCGATAGCCTAGCAAAAAAAGAGTTAATCATCCGAATGTGAGGCGATAACGATGACTCAAAACGCACACAAATGTAACAAGGACGAGTCATTCAAATGTGGAAAAGTGTTTCCTATCAGAAAACGAGAAAGAGGAGAGAGCGCACGAGAAAAGTTCAGCGAACCTTTCCAACTGGAAACAGATTACGATGACTCCAATTTTCATTTCATTTCTTTGCTTCTGCCTTGCTTTTTGTTCTTGGCCTTTGTTTAGCACTGGCCTTCTTATCAGAAGGCATGAGTACTTGGCGAGCGGTTAAACTGCATTTTATCACGTTTATTTTTAGTTCGAAATTCAAGTGTGCGTGCCGCTTCGCAATCCCCATATATTATTTCCCCATGTTCCACTCAGAATTGCGCTGGACAAAGAATCGTCTTTGTGTATCGATATCGGTAACATGTCATCACTCGAATTGCATTGCATTCGATCGAACAGCTGCGCTGATATGCAATGGTTACAAGGGCAGCGACCGCGCCAAAAACAAAACGGAGAAAAGGCATCGCGAAATCTATATTTATTTGCTTATTTATGGCCATAAATGGTCGTAAAGCTGAGCTCCAACCAGCCGGCCAATCACGTTGATTGACTAACGGACGCCGATCTCCCAACACTCCGCTCTGGCCCGCTATCTCCACTTCCCCAGACAGAAAAGCCTATCTTCGACTGACTAGGTTTATGCCGGTTTTAAATCACGATCAACAAAGTAAGCTCGACTTATTGGGGATCTTTTTTAACTTTTTGCATCACTTTTTAATTACAATTTTCTACACCACTTTAAATAAGACCTATTAAATGACATAGTTCAACATTTAACCGTTTAACAATTGGACTTATGAGGGTACCTTATCTATGATTAAGGCAAACCGGCAAGCATCACTCGCTAATCTTTATTTTGATAATACTGATCAATTGCTCATAATTTATTATCGCAAACAAAAATAGCACCGATGAACTAATCATAAGAAAATCCCAAGTCAACAACAAGCCCCTTAATTGCAACTTTTCTTTTTAAGCATATACATTTCCATTTTTGCGGTGATTTATGCCCTTAGTTTTTGTAAGGTTTACGCCTCTTGTTTGTTAGGCAAGACTTCTCACAATTGCAACGCTTAATTTTAAATTCGATTAATTGGTAATCGTGTAATCCGAGTGTCGCATTAGTCAGCTCCTTGCAGCAAACAAAGGAGAGGCAACAAACAAACGACAGAAGTAACGACTTCGCATACATACAAAGTTGGAGTGCAAGGGGGGAGGTGGTAATTTCCAAGGGGAAAGAGGGGAGGGGCAAATGAAGTTTGCCGTGAATCAACTTCCAACTTCGAAATTCGAAATATGGTCGCCCCGCTTAAAAACCGGCGATGAATCATCGCTGTATTGCATGCATATATACGTGTATGTATGTATGTATGATGAATTTATCGTTGCCCACACAGCTGTGCTTCTACTTCTTCATGACTTTGTAAGCTTTTCTTTCTTTTTTCTTTCTTCCTGTTTTTGGTTAATTCTTTTATAGATACACATATCTTATAGTTTTTTTTTTGGAGTGTGAGTGGGACGGCGCCAAAAGACCGTTAAAAATAAGAAGAATAAAAGCAGAATTTGTTTGGGTATAGAAATTATATGTAAAACAAAATGAGTCAAAGCCGCTGATGCGTGGCAACCAGCCGACGAACGGAGTGCCAAAAAGAAGGCGAGAAGAAAGGGCGGAGAGTGCAGAAAAAGCGGAAAGGAGAAATGGAATGAGAAATGACAGACACGTCCGTTTTACATTACACCCTCAACTCCTGCACAAGTTCACATGTGTGCTTGTGTGAGAGTAAAAGAGAGAGAGAGCGTGAGAGAGACGAGGATAAACGGCGACTTGCAATGAATGTTAAACAAGCACATTATACATTTTATGCACATTATATACAAAACACAATATATGCGGGCGGCTGTGTTTAGTCATATATTCAATTTCAAAATCACTGGATATTGGATATCCAAGTTCTCTGGCGACAATGAAGAACGGCCGCCACGCCCAGTTAAATTTGCAACTCGTCGTGCACATACTCATGCATCTCACAGTCATGACCACCGTAATAGTAACTAATAAGAATTAAAAAAAAAGAGTACATTCAAGTCCAGTGATATCACAAATTGATTAAGATATGTACATATGTATATTGCTTGAAGTATTAGACTCCTACTAAGTTATATATTTGGCAGTCTGTTTTGTTTACTCCAAAATTTAGTTTAAACAGTTTGTTAGTCAAAGTACAACTTTAAAAAATTTAAACCTACACTTGACCTCAAATGGAAAAGCTGTTGCTATACGTGTGTAACTTAAAATTGTAGATAATAATAGACAGTGCTGTTATTCAATTTATATCTTTTCTATGGCTAATTTTATAGTACATATGTGTGTTACAAGCCAATACAATTTTTAAACGGCAATCGTTTGCAAGATTATGAATTTTATACTTTTTATTTCTTTTCGATTATAAACGATATTTATAAGTAATGTTAAATTTGTGGTCCCCACTGTGGGGGAGGATATTTAACAGCAACACATGCGCCCCGCCCAAGCCCACACACATACACATACACACCATCAAGCGGCAGACGGCAAAAAAAAAGGGAAAAATGCCGGCCGGCATCAACACACACACAAACACAGAAAGGTCTCTGAAGTTTAAACCACACATAAAAAAAAAATATAGTCAACAAAAGGCAGCGGCAAAAGCCATTTAACATCTGCAGAAAAAAGTTCAAGCCAAAGAAAATAAATGAAAATAAAGAGAAAGAGCTAAAAGTAACGGACTAGACGAGCACAATAAATATTTATAACAAATCCGCTGCCATTTTTGCAATCAATGAAGACTGCGCGTCAACAAAAAACCAGTTAGGTTCCCCTTCTTCTGCTTCAACTTCTTTTTGCCCACTTCTCCCCAGAAAAAGAAATTACCGGCGATCCCCCATTAAAAAATTAAAAAAAAAAATTGTTTTCCCCTCAAACCTAAATAAAAAGTTAACAAGCTCACCTTAATTTGATTTTTGGTGTTGGTTTTTGGATTGGCAAAGAGGACTACTACGAGCTGGGATGCTGGCGGGTTGGGGCCTTATATATGTAGTTAAGAGTGCACACTGGAGCTAAACCTCAAATTGTCGCGCTTGGAGCCGAAGCTAAACTGAACGTTTCTTTTAATGTGCGCTGGAGCTAACTTCGGTCCGAAGTTACTGACGTGACCATGGTGGAATACGTAGAGACTAACTGTCTCGTCGTGTCCGTCAGGGCGTTAACATTCCACAATGAGTGCGAGTGGGGGGTGTTTTCCAATAGGTGCGAAAGATGCAGCAATAGAGTTAGTTGTCCAACCCTTAAACGATGAGCCTGACCCGAACGAGTTGGCAGTCTTTTTGTCCGCTAGAGGCGCTTTCTGACAGAAACTTAACATAGGAAGTGTTTCAAAACGGGTATATTGCACCTTTTCGCCAAACGGGGAAACAGGGAACACCGTTTTCCCAAACGGGTATACAGAGCAGAAACGGGTTCATCGATAATCTGAGAGCCACCCGAACGTTAAGGGACTGAACCCGAACCAAAGTATCGATGTTTTGAAATGAATTCATCGATATTCTAATCGTCGATATTGTTCTTCGTATCCTAGCGAGTGAACCACTCAAAGTTAGTCGCGACAGACGAGCGGGATTTTTGAATTTTGAAACTGCAATATATATCGGCAAATCATTTTTTGTAATCTTGAAGTAGTTGTTAGTCATTTTCACAAAACCTTTGTTCTTGTAGCACATTAAAAGAATAATACTGCTTAATGTAAACAAATGCATTATTAATTAACTTACAGCTTTATTAAAACATATTTTAAAAAGCTCATATAACGTAGAGTTATCCACCTTTGCTAAATTTAAAATCTCTGAAAACAGTCATCCTCAGTTTAGTTTACTTTAATAAGGCTGTTATCTTGGTAGTGACTCATCCGTATATACACTCTATGGTAAAACTAGGCTGCATATCCATCCTGATCCTTCTTGCTACGCATAGTTTGCGGATCGGCACTCGTTCCACACCCGGATCATCTCCTCGGGGTCCCCGAAATCGTGCGAGGCTATTACCGAACTGTAGCTATCGGGACCCTTGTACGCCGGCCGATGGAAGCGAAAATCATCGCAATGCTGGAGGGGAATGCCCGCCTTGAGAGCCACAATTCCAAGGTAGACATCGTCGAACCGAAAGAGCGGCAGGTGGACACTGGTCGAGTATAAGCGGAGCAGTGCCTGCTTCGAGAGCAGAAACGCACCTGCGGTCACGTAGGGAGGCCAGCGATCGAAGGGGTATTCCTCCAGCGAAACGTACCACTTGCTGAACTTGTGCCGCAGCGGCGAGGTCTGGAACACATGCCCGGCGAAGAGCAACTCTGGCTGGTGGCTACTGCGTCCTCGACCCAAAAACTTCAGCACATTTTTCGCCGAAACATAGTAATCATCGTCGACGAAGAGGTAAAAATCACTGCGATTGAAGTGCTCGCTGGCCCAGCGCATTCCGAGCATGGTCTTCAGGGTGTTATTGAAGTAGGCATCTATAAAGTCCGCCTGGAGGATGTCGCCATGCTCGCGGGACTCCCAGGCAATGTCCTTTTCACCTCCGTGGGTTGTGGTTCCCAGTAGAAAAACCCTGCGCAGATGGACGTCAGAGAATCGGCCTTCGTAGCCCCAAGTTCGACGGATGGCCTCTCGTCGCTGGACGTTCGACACGGCACTTTTGATGAGCAGCGTAAGACGCGGAGGCTGATCCCCCTGTATTTCGGCTGTGAAAGAGGGCATTCGCAGGTAGGCGAACTTCGATATTCCCGAAGTTCCGACGCGGTCATCCTTCAGTGGATAGTGGAAGTGCCTCTCAAAGTCCAGTTCGTGCAGGTGGGTCAGCAGGCCACAATAGTCCACCAAAAGAATGAGCGGCAAAACCAGGAGACATCGCAGCAGCAGCTTGTAGTGTTTACTTTGCATTGCGACCAAACCAAAACAAAAACTTCAAGGTGACCGTCGCAGGTCAAAATGACAGAAAACTGCGGCCGAGGTTTGGCGGCACCTCATTGCACGCTCAGAAAAGACAATTATGTCCCTCAAAGCTCTGTAAGTCTTGCACACCTTTTTAAAAATAAACTAATTCACTTAAAAGAAATGTGTTTAAGCATTTTGAAATAAATTGTTTGTACACTTTGAATAAAAAACATTAAGGCCCGGAAAATACCGAAAAAATACTACATCAATACGGAGCCGTCGCTGTGAATGTCAAATTGGCAAGAGGTAGCACAAAACATACAAACTAAAACTTCTGAGCGCGCTTAGCAAAACCTTGTGAAATTGAAATGTCCGAGGCAGTGGCCACCGATGAACTCGCTCCGCCGGCGGAGAAGATTTCCAAACTCACGAATGCACAAAAGGCGCGAATCGAACGGAATTTGGCGAAGGCACAAAAGTTGCGCGACGCCAAACTGGTTTTGCATCCATTTAAGGATCTCGCCAGGTGGGTTCTCCAAGTTAAGGAGGGCATATGTAACTAATATGATCTAACAACTAACAATAGCAACAGGGATGGTACTCACCCGGAAGCGGCTCTCAGTCAAGGAAGCTCGGTGATCAAGGTGCAGGGCACCAAGTACATCGATTCCGGTGGCGGTTTTCTGCTGGAACAGCCCGTTCTGCCCACAGCACCGGGCGTATCTGGTCTTAACAAGTCCGGGGAGGAGCTGCCTGTCATTGTGGACGATGCCATTGCCATCCCCATCCAGTACGAGGAGTGCTTGGATTGCGGCGACCAGTTCGCCGACTCCTATTTGTTCAACAACTTCGGGCACTCGGTTTGCGACAAGTGCCGCGACAACGATGACCGCCATGCCCTGATCACCCGCACGGAGGCCAAGGCGGAGTATCTGCTCAAGGACTGTGACTTCGACAAAAGGGAGCCCAAGCTGCGTTACATAAGCCGCAAGAATCCTCACAATGTGCGCTGGGGCGAGATGAAGTTGTACCTGCACCTGCAGATTCACAAGCGAGCAATGGAAGTCTGGGGCAGCGAGGAGGAGCTGGTGCGCCAGCACGAGTCTCGCGAGGATAAGCGCGAGGTGGGTAAGGCCCGCAAGTACAACAAGCAGATGAAGCAGCTGCGCATGGAGGTGCGGAGCAGTATTTACACCAAGAAAACGCACGTCGTCCACGAGCACGAGTTTGGACCCGACACATACAACGAGGAGGAGGACACCTACACGCACACCTGCCTCTCCTGTCCGTATAGCGAGACCTATGAAAAAATGTAGAGTTTCCTGTTTTTGTTTATTGCACTGAATGCTTGAAGAATCAATTATGTTAAAAAATAAGTATTTTTAAATCTTAATTATCTTTGTAACTTAAGCTGGCAAATCCATGCGTTGTAGGCTTGGAAGCTTCAAAGTGTATTCCATTATTCTTGGAGCTATGTATTTTTTTGAATTTTTTTTATATTATTAGTTATAATACTTTTTAAGCGAAGTTGTGAAAAAAAATGTCGGAATCTTGTATTACTATAGGCAATTGAAGAAATTGCATGATAAAAAGGATCAGTACTGCCACAAAAATGTTTATATATCACAATGCCCGTTTTTTCAATTAAAAACAATGAATATTATGTACCACCAAACCATTTTTGTGAACTCACAGAATTAAATGAAATTTTAGTAAGTCCCATGCCAACTAAATACTCGATTTTAAATTGATGGAAAATGTATTGTTTGAATTCAAGGGATTAATTTGAAAAACGGAACTTTTAAAAATTAGTGTAGTTCCAGTATTTTTGGGTATGATACCAGAAAAGTTTAGAATTTACTCTGGTATTTAGCTGCATTCGCAGTACGGCCCCATCGACGAGCATATACCAAATAAACAAATTATCCGCTGCAGAAACTCCAAGCCCCCATTTCCAGGTTCCTGAGCAGATCCCAGCAGTCAAGATGGAGGAACCCTCGGACGATGAGAACTCGGAGCCCACGGCGAAGAAGATCAAGCAGGAATGGGTGAAGAGTTACTCGAACAAGGCGATGCACATGATGAAGAAGATGGGTTACGAGAACGACAAGGGCTTGGGTAAAAGCAATCAAGGTCGTCTGGAGCCGATTATTGCGGTCCAGCAGGATGGTCGCCGGGGATTCGGACTGAAGCTGGACACGGTCCAATCCTCGGCTGGGCAATGGGATCCAGCCTGTGAGGAGCTCGAGATCCCGGAACCGGTGCTCTGGCTCCACAATCCCGGAGGAGCTGCCTCGTACAGCCTGGATCAGTTGATGGGGCACGTGATCACCGGTCCAAAGAAACTAACGCTCGACGAGGAGACACGCTACTGCGATCCGGCCATCCTGCACCACATTCTCAATGCCAAAACCGTATTCGATGATCTCAACGACAGCGAGATGCGGCGGGCCAGGTCCCGCTGCAATCCCTTCGAGACGATCCGCAGCTCCATCTTTCTCAACCGCGCCGCCGTTAAAATGGCCAACATCGACTCCATGTGCGACTTCATGTTCACCAATCCCCGCGATCCCGATGGCCAGTCCTTGGTGGCTCCAGACGAGCTGCTCTATTTCACGGACATGTGCGCAGGTGAAGTTCCGGGGGAAAACCAGGGGTGCCAGGGGGTTTTGCCAGTTCGTTTTTCACTTTTGCATTTTCTGTAATCTTGGAGATCCTATTTCCACCAATGGAAAGTGAGAACCAGATAGGTGTTGTATATTTATACATTTTTTTTTTTGAATTTACATGAACACTTTGAACACTTTGAACACATTTTTGGTATGATTATACTACATTTTTTTTGTAATACAGTAGAATCCGCTTATAGCGACTTTCAAGGGACCGACGATTTTTCGTCGTTATATCCGGAAGACGCACTAAGCAGAAGGATTTAAGTGTATAAGTCTGTCTGGGGCCCAATCAAGCCATCGAGTTTTCGTCGCAATACCCGGACGGACACTATAAGCGGAGTCGTTATAACAGGATTCTACTGTATAGTATTATTAGCCAGCAGTCATTTATAAAAATCAAAGACTTATCCTCCTTATTGGTTCAACAGGTCCTGGCGGCTTCTCCGAGTACGTGCTCTTTCGCAAATCATGGGAGGCCAAAGGCTTCGGCTTTACGCTGCGCGGCGCCAACGACTTCAAGCTGGAGAAGTTCTTTGCCGCCTCGCCGGAGTCCTTTGACACGTTCTACGGAGTGAAGGAGGACGGCAACATCTTTGATGAGGCTAATCAGGACTCGCTGAACGAGTACATTCGCCTGCACACGCCGCAGGGCGTTCACTTTGCGATGGCCGACGGTGGATTCTCGGTGGAGGGGCAGGAGAACATCCAGGAGATCCTGTCCAAGCAGCTGTACCTCTGCCAGTTCCTCACCGCCCTGAAGATCCTGCGCCCGAACGGCAGCTTCGTGTGCAAGGTGTTCGACCTGTTCACCCCGTTCAGCGTTGGCCTGGTCTATTTGATGTACAAGTGCTTCCAGCAGATCGCCATCATCAAGCCGAACAGCAGCCGACCGGCGAACTCGGAGCGCTACCTGGTCTGCAAGTACAAACGATCCGACGCAGAGACGGCGGCCATCACAGCCTACCTGAACGCTGTGAACCTCATGCTGGCCAAGGAGTCGCTGCAGGAGGAGAGCCAGCACGACGTCCTCGAGCTCTTCGATGCCAACGAGCTGGCCGAGGACGAGGACTTTCTGCGCTACATCATCGACTCGAACAACGCGATTGGCAAGAAGCAGATCGTGGGCCTGCGCAAGATAGCCGCCTTCGCCCAGAATCCGGAGCTGAAGGAGACCAAGCAGTCGGAGGTGCGACAGGAGTGCCTTAAGCGCTGGGGATTGCCGGACAAGCTGCGCCAGGCGCCGGAGATCAAGCAAACGGACCGGCTGCTGGAGGAGCTCCTCGCCGACTGGTCGGCCGATCGCAGCTGGCTAAACCTCGCGGCCAGCGAGATGAGCAGCGTAAACAACCTGCAAGCGGCCGTGCAGAACGTGGCCGACTGGTACTTCGTGCCCGTGGGTCGCGAGGAGACGAACGTAAACGCGTGCACCCTGTTCCTGTGCAAGTCGCGCGGCAATCTGCTGCGCTACACGGAGCACAAGAAGTGGGAGCTGGTGGAGACGGCCTTCGAGGTGCAGCCGCGCTCCATCTTCTTCGGGCAGATCGTGTTCGAGTTCTACGGCGAGGGCAGGACCATCCAGCGTGTCGCGGCGCTGCACATCATCGACGGCATCTGCCTTGGCGGTATCGACATCCGGCGACGGCCGTTCCGGGAGCGCGTCAGCATGTGCGACAAGTTTGCCCGGAGTCTGAACAAGCCGCATCGGAAGGAGCGCACCTTCGGGGCGCTGCGCAGCAAGCCCATCTTCCGGCTGCAGGACATGGGCAGCTTCTTCGCGGACATGCGCCACTACGTGCTTAAGGACAACTCGCAGCGGTTCGGCTACGCGCTCGACGACAACAAGTTCTTTGTGCCGGGCGGCATTCTGATGTTCTGCGAACTGACCACCAACTATGTGTCCGCCCATTCGCGTTCGCGCGGCCAGCTCTACTACTTCAACATCAAGAACAAGGAGTCGTACTACAAGGAGCAGATACCCAGCAAGAAGGCCGCCGAGATCTTCGCCTCGTTCCGCTACAGCTACTCGCGCCGTCAGCTCTGGAAGTGGACGGACCTGCGCCAGGTGGAGGAGCTGGCCACCGAGGACAATCCAAAGATCCTGTTCCGCAGCGACTTCGTCAAGTTCATCGCGGACAAGCTGGGCCACAGCTAGGTGCCCCACGCCACGTGTTAGCCATAAGTGTAATCTATACATACAAACGCAAACGTGTTTTTTTTAATCGAACCCCGCGCATACCTAGGATTTATCTGGAGGTTTTACTACAGATCCCTGCATTTTACTTATTCGACTTAAGTATTCAGCTATTATTTGTCCGCGGGAACTGAATTTATTATTTTTTTTTCTGTGACCATCACCTCTAATTCTATTCATCCAATGTCTGACGAAAGTGTGCATATGTTTTACTTTTAAAAATCTTACTAAAGTTAAAACGTTTTTCATTCGGATCGGGTGGTATTATAGTATACAAAGCCAAAAGGGCTATGACGAAAAGTAATTAAATCCCAGCACGTATAACTTTTTTATTTTTATTCAGATTTTTAAATGGCTACCTCTAAAAGTTTGTATTTTAACTCTCTATCAAATTGCATCATTGGTAAAATTTTTATTTTTGGTTCATTTTTTTTTTAAATTTAATGATGTAACCCCTTTCCAAATTTCCAAAAAATGGGTCTTCTGAAAATTGACTAAAATTCAAATCATTAAAATTGACTTGGATGTGTCAATAGCTTTTCTGATTTTCACCCGATTATGGAGTGGCATGCATCTTAACGTTTCTATTTCAATTCTCCAATTTCCAATTTTTGGCCGATTTTTTTTCATTTTAATGTGTAATCCCTTTCCAATTTTTCGAAAAATGGGTTGGCTGAAAAGTACCCAAAATCCATTACTTCAAAGCCTATAACTTTTTTAGTTGATCTCCGATATTCAAGGGACATACCTCTATGAGTTTGATGTTCAATCCTCAAAAAAAAACTGCATAATTAGTTAAATATTTTTTGTTTGGCTGACTTTGGCCTTTCCAAATTTTCGGAACTGTTGTTGATTCATAAGGTGACGCTTTTTGCTGGTACTCAATTTAATAATTTGTGGCAATCTTTAATGGCCCGTCGCCCACTCGCTCCCCAGGGAGTTGTCAGCGGCAGAAAGTTGCATTCGCTGGTCCTTGGTCCTTGCAGCTTAATTAATCACCCGATAAATGGTCGGGGAGCGGAGAGCGGTCTTCTGGGGCATCGGGTGTACGGATTTCGCACTGTTTACAGTTGGGCAAAAAAGCAAATTGTTGCCCGCTCCACGGAAGGCAGTACTTCTGCAATTCACGCCACACAGCACACAGTTACACATCGCCGGATGGGAAACCCGGGGTCGGGGGTCAGGGGTCGTGGGTCAGGGGCCAAATGCCACTGACATGCGCCAGTAATTAACGTCCCATTTTGGGTTAGATTATCCATGAATAATTGGGAATGACGATGGTCGCGCCTGTCGCAGACGGAGAAAATCCAAGGCCAATTTCCAATACCTTATTGATTTTATTTTCCTATTTATTAAATATTTTTTTATATTAAGTGTGCTATCTTATAATTGATTCGATATCAGAAGTGGTTTCCTGGTTTCAATTTCATTAAAGAAATTGTAAGGTAATCAACTTTTAATATTTGTAACATTTCTGTTTTTCAAACATATGAATTCTCAGTGAAATCGCCTTTCCTTGGCAGCTGATAGTTGGGTGCAACTGTAATGGATGGAGAAACGGCATCCGATCGACTTGGCTGGGATTGAATTGGGCTTGGGATAAGGTTGCGCAACTGCACCAGATTGATGATGGCCGGCTAAGTGTAGCCACCTCCTTTCCCTTCCATCCCTTTAATCCTTGTGCCATTCGGGCCATTTTCCATGCGAGGAGTGAGTGTTTTGGAGACTGAAAACTTTGCTAATTGCTTTTTGGCCACGGCTACGATGGCGATGCCTCTGACTATATATATATATATCTATATATATATTTGT